CGCTTCCTGTGTAAGGCAGGGTCGTACTCTCCGAATGTTGTAGAGCATGAACCTGCAGGAGCGGGTCACCGCCTTGATGTTGGCGGAGAACGACAGGGTGTTGTCCAGGGTCACGCCTAGGCTCTTCGCACTCTGGGAGGAGGACACAGCGGAGTTGTCAACCGTGATGGCGAGATCATGGAACGGGCAGTCCTTCCCCGGGAGGAAGAGCAGCTCCGTCTTGCCAGGGTTCAGCTTGAGGTGGTGATCCGTCATCCATACTGGTATGTCTGCCAGACATGCAGAGATGCGATTCGCCACCTGGTTATCAGAAGGGGGAAAGGAGAAGATTAGTTGTGTATCGTCAGCGTAGCAATGATAGGAGAGACCATGTGAGGATGTGACAGAGCCAAGTGACTTGGTGTATAGGGAGAAAAGGAGAGGGCCTAGAACTGAGCCTTGGGGGACACCAGTGGTGAGAGCACGTGGTGCGGAGACAGCTTCTCGCCACGCCACTTGGTAGGAGCGACCGGTCAGGTAGAACGCAATCCAGGAGTGAGCCGCGCCGGAGATGCCCAGCTCGGAGAGGGTGGAGAGGAGGATCTGATGGTTCACAGTATCAAAGGCAGCAGACAGGTCTAGAAGGACAAGAGCAGAGGAGAGAGAGTTAGCTTTAGCAGTGCGGAGAGTTTCCGTGACACAGAGAAGAGCAGTCTCAGTTGAATGACCAGTCCTGAAACCTGATTGGTTTGGATCAAGAAGGTCATTCTGAGAGAGATAGCAAGAGAGTTGGCTAAAGACGGCACGCTCAATAGTTTTGGAAAGAAAATAAAGAAGGGATACTGGTCTGTAGTTGTTGACATCAGTGGGGTCGAGTGTTGGTTTTTTGAGAAGGGGAGTAACTCTCGCTCTCTTGAAGACGGAAGGGACATGGCCAGCGGTCAAGGATGAGTTGATCAGCGAGGTGAGGTAGGGGAGAAGGTCACCGGAGATGGTCTGGAGAAGGGAGGAGGGGATGGGGTCAAGCGGGCAGGTTGTTGGGCGGGCTGCAGTCACAAGTCGCAGGATTTTATCTGGAGAGAGAGGGGAGAAAGAAGTCAAAGCATAGGGTAGGGCAGTGTGAGCAGGACCAGCAGTGTCATTAGACTTAACAAACGAGGATCGGATGTCGTCAACCTTCTTTTCAAAGTGGTTGACGAAGTCATCCACAGAGAGAGAGGAGGGGGGGGGGGGGGGGGGGGATGAAAAAAAAAAACAAAAAAACATGTATGCACTCACTAACTGTAAGTCGCTCTGGATAAGAGCGTCTACTAAAATGTAAATGTGTTTGCTTAACTGGAGAAATGGTTTACAATAGGCACAGCCTGGTCTCACAGACTAGACATAACATAGTAAACATAAATTTGGGACACTCAAATTAGTGTAACGCGAACATCTCGCAACCCAAAGGTTGCGTGTTCGAATCTCATTATGGACAATTTTAGCATTTTAGTTAATTAGCAACTTTGCAACTACATGCAAAGTAGCTAAAAAGTAGTAACTACTTAGCATGTTAGCTAACCCTTCCCCTAACCTTAACCCTTTAACCTAACCCCTTGCCTACCTAACGTTAGCCACCTAGCTAACGTTAGCACCTAGCTAATGTTACCCACAAAAATTTGAATTCGTAACATACGTTTTGCAAATTCATAACATGTCATACTTTTTGCAAATTCGTAACATATTGTAAAAATTGCAATTCGTAACATTTCATACTAAATGGAGGATGAACATCCACAAATTAATACATAACATACAAAACATAACATATACTAATTGTGAGAGTTAATTGTAAGAGTGTGCAAAGCTGTCATCAAGGCAAAGGGTGGCAATTTGAAGAATCTCAAATATCCTCATCCAGTGACAAAAGGGCATATGATGCTTGATGGCGCAGTCTGGGAGGAAACTTGCTCTCTCGTTAAGCAATAGAGTGCATTAAGGGCAAAATCTAAGCTTGAGTGAGCACACACCTGTCTCCATGAGTCTGAATCAATAGACTGCAGACTGTGAACAATCATTTGTTTAATGTCAACCAGTGTTGTACATGTATTTCTGCCTAATGCATTGAATCCCAAAACTGTTCTAAAATATGCTTTAAGTTCTTTGTGGATGTAACCTTTTGTTTTCTTAGGTTTTAAATGGTGTGTTCTATATCTTCAATAACATTAAACGTGTACAACTGTGACATTAAAATGTTTAATGGTATTTTTCATCAGTTGTTTTATATGAAATGTAATTTCCACCACACTCTGTCATTATCACAACACTAAGTCATTACCACAACACTAAGTCATTACCACAACGCTAAGTCATTACCATCACGGTACATATTTTTGAGACAAAAATCATTGTCATATGAAGAGTAATAATGAAAATAAATTATAGATAAAAGGTATCGGTGCTCATCGGCCATTGGACATAAAGATTACTCAACAAGTTGGAAATCGCAAATTCACCAATGAGTGGTTTGGAAGGAATCAGTGGCTAACTGCAAGCATTGCAAAGCAATCACTAGCCTGCTATTCAGTGGAGTGGGTGTGTGGTCCCAAGTCCGGGTTTAAGGGTCTCTTTTCCAGGCTTAAAAGGATAAACCTTCAACATTGGCCATGCTTTCAATCCAGCATGACTTCTGCCGTGCTCAAAACAACTGGAAACTTGGAACTGGGAAATCTGACTTCAGTGAGTTCAAGACAACTGGGAACATGGAAAGAAATAAGCTCCGACTGGGAAAATACATTTTGAACGGTCATCCAACTCGGAATTGCAAGTCGGGAACTCTGGCCTCTTTCTAGTGTTCTGACCTGAAGATCACTGACGTCATCATGATTCGATCTTGTTTTTGCCCCCGAGTTCCCAGTTGTCTTGAAAGCACCATAAATCCAGAGAGTGCCAGACTTTGATGACAATGTTTGATGACAAAATTTGCCCACGAAGGACCACCGCGTCACCTTCCTGTTCAAGTGAGCCCAGCACAAGGTGAGTCTAAAAATGTCTTGTATGTTGCTGCATAAATGATGTAATATGCCAGGGAGATATGTATACTGTCTGTAGCTAAGAAAGTAATACTAAGTGTATGTTGTGTAGTAAGCTGTTAGTAGCCCATGTGCCTCACCCTAATAATTTGCTACATGGCCACTACAAACTTCAGCTAACATTAGCCACCATAAGCTAACAATCAATGGAAGTGATGGGGGCATTTGAGCATGTTTTTTAAAATTATGTTAAATCATCTGACATCAATTCAACTAAACTCCATATTTGGTTTAATGTTACTTAAAGGTGATTTGGCAATTTAAAAAAAAAACTAAACATGCTCACATGACCCCATCACTTCCATTGATTGTTAGCTTATGGTGGCTAAAGTTAGCTGAAGTTTGTAGTGGCTGTTGAAGAAAACTGAACCATGGATTACAGTTTCTCCTGGCCCATAGACTACTTTCAGGGTGAGGAACCATCTAACATCAAGTTGTAAAATAGTGAACTACTCCTTTAAGAGCAACTTGTGATGAAGTGTGAAACAATGTCATCCGTCTCTCAGCTGCTGAATGACAGTGTTGAGGAAGCTACTCTGAAATCATAGTTTACCAAACGACCAATTACTTCACACTAGAAGAAGTTCAGCTACACAAAAACTACCCTTAAAGGGATACTAGCATAGATACCCATAGACTTCCAGTCATTGCGCTAATGCTAGTTAGCATTGGCTCGCAAAACTACCTCTAATTTCCACATTGTCAAAATCCCGACGTATCCCTTCAAGAAAAACTTAACTAAAGCTACTTTGAAAAAGTTGTTCACTACATCCAAGCTACTTCGGGAAAAATGATCATATCTAAATCTGAAATGTCATGGACTACAAATTGCAAGAACAGATCACTCTGGGAACAAGTGTTAACCGAATGTGAAATGTAGCCTATTAAAACACAAAAATTGTTTCAAATGAGAATTAGGAAGGTCTGATGCTGAAAAATAAAGGAAATTCTATATTTCACCTATATTTTCATCTCTTTTTGCAAAAAAACATCGCTACATGGTAAAACAGTAATGAACTACTGGTAACACTAACAAGATTTGAATTAATGTCCAAATCACCTGAAATCAATTCAAATCAACTCCATATTTGGTTTGATGTTATTTAAAGGTGATTTGGCATTTTTTTTAAAATGCTCACACACCCCCATCACTTCCATTGATTGTTAGCTTGTGGTTAGCTGAAGTTTGTAGAGGCTGTTTAAAGAAAACTGAACCATGGATTACAGTTTCTCCTGGCCCATATATTTATTTATTTATTATGTTTAGCTAAAATAATATAATTTAAAAGTATGCATTAAGATGTCTGCAATAGAGTAAACGTGTCAAAAACGAATGTAGACATTAATAATTTTACACACTATGTAGCGACTGCTCACACTCCACCTCCCTTTACATTTCTCTCTTTACTCACCCTCTTCTGAACCATGATAATGTAGCCTATCTCTGCCTCATATTTCTGAACAGCTGAAATAAATAAAAACCTGCAGCAATTTGAACGAACATTTTTATTGAAGACTATACAACCTTCTCTGTCTGTTGTAAATGATATTGCGGTTGAACAAGCAGGACGCAGTCCCTAGCAAAAACAATCTGCGTTTTGTATGGTGATGTAGGCTAATATTCACAGTTGCTGCCATATCGTAGCCACTAGCCAGAATTCCTGAAAAAAGTTTTGCAATGGGGCAAAAAACAATCTGCGCTTTAACCACTCAATTATCACGCAAGTACCGAACAAGTACCTGTTCAACCTCTGGCCAGTAAAATGTCCTACGCAGCCCGAAACAGGGGAACACTTAGCAGAAGCTACGTAAACAGGTGTGGACAGCAGCTACCGCTCATGCGCAGAAATCTCTGTATCAATAGTCACGGCAAATCGGATTCCAGAAAATCCGGAATCGCAGCCACTCCATAATAATTAATGATCAGATTTTGGGCGGAGTAAACCCTCTCGCTTCGCCTCTTCCTCTCTACTGCTAGGACTATCTGTGACCAAATTCCGTCAAAAAAAACGACCACATAACTGGTTTGCACAGTCACCGCAAGCTATCTACAATTACATTTACATTTTAGCAATTTAGCAGACGCTCTTATCCAGAGCGACTTACAGTTATCTAGTCTTCGGCAATATGGCACTTTTTCATTTGATTGCAAGTTGGATCGGTTATTTGCTTATATGCCTGCTTGGTTTGATTTTGATCGCGTTTCTCATTTTTTGTCTTTACATAAAATATATTCATCTGAAATATGATCACATACCGGGACCACCAAGGGATAGGTGAGTCAGTATTATGTAACTTGAATATTTCTTTTAAAACGATGTAGCTAAATATTAGTTTCAACTATATTGAGTGACAACATAATGCATCAGATTTGTTGATAAGGAACTAGGTGAAAGTTAACCTCAACAGCCGCTAGGGTCGCTGTTTCACCTGTCTTTTTCATTTTCACAAGGTGAAAGTATCTCTCATGTCATAACATCCTTATTTTTCAGTTATGGATTAAACCGTCTCTTGTTCTCCCCCAGTTTTATATTTGGACATTCCCCAACCATTCTGCGTGAGATGAGCAATGGTCGAGTTATCCACGACAAATTCCTGGAATGGTGAGTTGAACGCTGGAGCAGCAGTGGTCACACACAGATGCACACACATTGAATCAGGTGTCGTGAATCCTGGGACAATAAAGATCTATTGTATCTTTGACAGGTCTGAGACATATGGACCTGTGTACCGTATTAATGGGTTGCATGTTGTGATGCTGTGTGTCACCTGTCCTGATACCACCAAGGTAAACCTGGGAAATTACTATAATTATAATCTCTGATGGACAGACTATGTAATCATCTGACCAAATTAAGCAAGATTCTAGTTCTGGGTTAACTGAGATTAGTGTAATTCTAAATTTTAGCATGTTAATTTCTGAAATGAAAGTGCTGTAAAATAACCAATTTCCTCAATTCCCCCTTCAAACCAAACTCACACTTTGCTTTGTCTCCACAGGAAGTCCTGATGTCACCAAAGTACCCCAAAGACTCACTGGTCTACAAGCGTCTCTTCAACCTGTTTGGACAGAGGTGAGTCCTCAGTATTGTTTTATTAATGTTATCTAAATATACTTCCTACTACTACTTATTGTGTCAACGTTTTGGTCAGTACAAACTCTTTCAACACAATCCCTCCTAATGCTGGTAATTGCATGCGTAGCCTACACAGCATATAGACATTCAAATAGGACAACTTGGTCACTGGTCAGTTGATTCAGTGTTAGGGTAAATACTCTGTTGTCCTTCTTCTCCATAGGTTTTTGGGAAGTGGCCTGGTCACAGCACAGAATCATGATGTGTGGTACAAACAGCGAAGAATAATGGACCCTGCCTTCAGCAGTCTGTAAGTCACTTATCCATTTCACATGATGTAATAATCAGTTGATCACTCCATTGATCAATCCATCCAGCCATCCATCTGTTCATCCATCCATCCATCATTGCTGTGTATTGCTAGGTACCTGCGGGGTCAGATGGGTGCGTTCAACGAGAGGGCAGAGAACCTGATGGATAAACTGGCGGACATGGCTGACACCAACACAGCTGCCAACATGCACCACTTGTTCAACCGTGTGACATTGGATGTCATCACTAAGGTAACAGTCACGTCCTGTTCCCCTCAGATCACCACACTGCCCTTACACTTGATTCTTTCTGTTATAAAGCTACATTTGTTTCTATATTTGACAATAAAATAGTCATAACAGGCTGTATTTTGCTTATGACAACTGATAACACACTCATTACCTAAGCTATATACAATTTAGTCTAAGCAAGCCAATGTGCTAGCTATAATTAGCATAACTAGAACCAGGAGTTTTACCTTATCATGTTGTAAGAAGTTGTCAATCCTCTGTTTTTATATCATCTGTAGGTGGCGTTTGGAGTGGAGCTGGATCTGCTGAAGGCGAGTGACACTCCATTCCCCAACGCCATAGAGATGTGTCTGAAGGGAATGGTCCACTATCTCAGAGACTCCACCTTCCAGGTAAATAGTTACATAAAGTATGTTAGTGATGCTTCTCAGGAATGATGGCTTTATTAATTTATCTATTTGAAATCCTACAGTTTCATGAGAACAACATCCTATTTAATAAGAAACAAATACAGTTAAAACATTGACACTCATGAATAGTTATGTCTAATGCACCCTAGTCTCTTGTTGCCATCCTTCCGAGTAGGAAGCCTGTAAGATGTGGCTAAATGCACCATAATGCATTTTATAGCGTCAGTCCCCAGATGGGCTTTAAAGAAATGGTTGGATGTCATATTTCCAGCTCTACCCAAAGAACAAGAAGTTCATCAACGAGGTGAAGGAGTCTGTTCAGCTGCTGCGTTCGACAGGCAGACAGTGGATCAACCAGAGGAAAATGGCCGTCCAAAATGGCGAGGACGTTCCAAAAGACATCCTCACACAGATCCTCAAGACGGCTGGCAAAGGCATGTTGTAGTAGCCTGATCCCAGATCTGTTTGTTCTGTCTTGCCAACTCCTGCCACTGTTCATGACAAGACCTTTTACCTGTGGCTCTGCATGTGAAATTGTGAGACAAGTGCTTGCCAAAACAGTCCTGTTATTGATGAGGTTCAGTAGCACTATTGTCTCAATGCTGTAAACTGATATATATCCATCATTTCAGAGGAAAACATAGCAAACGATGATGAGGAGGTTATGCTGGACAACTTTGTGACGTTCTTCATTGCGGGTACGTCTCCCTGAAACAAGTGCTATTCTTCATTTTTTTATGAATCCATCTTAGTAATATAGTTTTTCCCACACAATTGATATTTAAAGAAACTACAGTGACAGTACTTTTGTTGTTTTAATCTTGACAGGGCAAGAGACAACAGCCAATCAACTAGCTTTTGCAGTTATGGAACTGGGAAGGCTGCCAGAGATATTGACAAAGTAGGACTTGTTTTCATAATTTATATTTTGGTTATTGATCATTTCTGTAATAAAAACAGGTTGGTTGAGTTTGTGAGTGTCTCTGACCTCTCCAGGGTGAAGCAGGAAGTGGATGATGTCATCGGGATGAAACAGGAAATCAGCTTTGACGACCTGGGGAAAATGACCTACCTGTCTCAGGTAAATGACCTACCTGTCCCAGGTCTGTTTGTGCTGTCTTGTCATTGATGTGACAGTGACAGCAATGGAGCTACAAACCAGATCCAGGATTTAGAATATGAACTGACATCTATAAACAGAAACCATGTTGTACGTTATACGATGTTGTACGATGGCTGATAGAATGGCGCCGGAGGAGATGGCTGCCGTTTTACGGGCTCCTAACCAATTGTGCTATTTTGTGTGTTTTTTTGCGTTGTTTGTGACTTATTTTGTACATAATGTTTCTGTAAGCTATAAAAACAAAGAGTCGCACACTCTGTCACCGTCTCTTATGACCGAAAAGAGCTTCTGGATATCAGAACAGCGATTACTCACCTCGAACTGGACAAAGATTTTTTCTTTAACGAGTCTGATGTGAAGGACCAGGCCCAAATCGCCATCATTCACATGAAGAAGAGACGCCGATACAGGGGACGCAGGTCCGGGTGCCTTGTGAGAATTCGTCGGTGAGTGGGTAACCTGTCGTATTGGCCAACGTGCAATCATTGGAGAATAAACTGGATGAGCTCCGTTCCAGACAATCCTACCAACGGGACATTAAAAACTGTAATATCTTATGTTTCACAGTCGTGGTTTAACGACAACATGGATAATATACAGTTGGCTGGGTTTTTCGTGCATCGGCAAGACAGAACAGCTGTCTCCGGTAAGACAAGGGGTGGCGGTCTGTGTCTATTTGTCAATAACAGCTGGTGCACGAAATCTAATATTAAGGAAGTCTCGAGGTTTTGCTCAACTGAGGTAGAGTATCTCATGATAAGCTATAGACCACACTATTTACAATGAGAGTTTTCATCTATATTTTTCGTAGCTGTCTATTTACCACCACAACCGATGCTGGCACTAAGACCGCACTCAACGAGCTGTATAAGGCCATAAGCAAACAAGAAAATGCTCATCCAGAGGCGGCGCTCCTAGTGGCCGGGGACTTTAATGCAGGGAAACTTACCTAATTTCTACCAGCATGTCACATGTGCAACCAAATAAATAGATAACTCTAGACCACCTTTACTCCACACACAGAGATGCGTACAAAGCTCTCCCTCACCCTCCATTTGGCAAATCTGAACATAATTCTATCCTCCTGATTCCTGTTTACAAGCAAAAACTAAAGCAGGAAGTACCAGTGATTCGCTCAATACGGAAGTGGTCAGACGACGCAGATACTAAGCTACATTACTGTTTTTCTAGCACAGACTGGAATATGTTCCGGGATTCATCCGATGGCATTGACGAGTATACCACATCAGTCACCGGCTTCATCAATAAGTGCATCGATGACGTCGTCCCCACAGTGACCTTACGTACATACCCCAACATGAAGCCATGGATTATAGGCAACATCCGCACTGAGTTAAAGGGTAGAGCTGCCGCTTTCAAGGAGCTGGACTCTAACCTTGACGCTTATAAGAAATCCCTTTATGCCCTCCAACAAACAATCAAACAGGCAAAGCGTCAATACAGGACTAAGATTGAATCCTACTACACTGGCTCCGACACTCGTTGAATGTGGCAGAGCCTGCAAACTATTACGGACTACAAAGGGAAGCCCATCCATGAGCTGCCCAGTGACACAAGCCTACCAGACAAGCTAAATTACTTCTATGTGCGCTTCGAGGCAAGCAACACTGAAGCATGCATGAGATCACCAGCTGTTCTGGGTGACTGTGTGATCACGCTCTCCGTAGCTGATGTGAGTAAGACCTTTAAATAGGTCAACATTCACAAGGCTGCAGGGCCAGACGGATTACCAGGACTCGTACTCAGAGCATGCTCTGATCAACTGGCAAGTGTCTTCACTGACATTTTCAACCTGTCCCTGACCGAGTGTGTAATACCTACATGTTTCAAACAGACCACCATAGTCTCTGTGCCCAAAAACACCAAGGTAACCTGCCTAAATAACTATCGACCCGTAGCACTCACGTCTGTAGCCATGAAGTTCTTTGAAAGGCTGGTCTTGGCTCACATCAACACCATCATCCCAGAAACCCTAGACCCACTCCAAATTGCATACCACCCCAACAGATCGACAGATGATGCAATCTCTATTGCACTCCCCACATACTGGCCTTTCACACCTGGACAAAAGGAAAACCTACGTGAAAATTCTGTTAATTGACTACAGCTCAGCGTTCAACACCATAGTGCCCTCAAAGCTCATCACTAAGCTAAGGACCCTGGGACTAAACATCTCCCTCTGCAACTGGATCCTGGACTTCCTGATGGGCCGCCCCCAGGTGGTAAGGGTAGGCAACAACACATCTGCCACACTGATCCTCAACACGGGTGCCCCTCAGTGTGCTTAGTCCCCTCCTGTACTAATATTTTCTCAACTGTTATTTTTCTTGAAACTGCATTGTTGGTTAAGGGCTTGAAAGTAAGCATTTCACAGTAAACCTGTTGTATTCGGCGCATTTGACAGATAAAATTAGATTTGATACTAATTACTAGTATGCTATTTTATACAATGCTATACTTGTACTATATTAACAGCAGTTGTGTGACCAACTGGATGTTATCCCGGTTCGTCTGCATGCTGCAAGACTGTATTAGCCGGCTGAGCTAAAGCCTAGGCATTGCATCCCATTATCAACATTGTATCCACTTCATTTCAACCCAAAAAATAAATGTGATGACTTGGAAAACTGATTGGATTTGCAAAAAGTCATCAATGTAAGGGCATTCTTTTAACCAAAATCCAATGACATGGTGACAATGTTTGTTGATTTCAAGTTGAATTCACGTTGACAACTCAATCAAATGTAAATCGAAACTAGACGTTGAATTGACGTCTGTTCCCAGTGGGATTTAGCTAAGGGAGCTAACGTAAGTGTTCAAGTCTCAGGTCAGGTAACTCTTCACATGGTTAATCAGCATGTTGTGTTTGATTAATATAATCTCCCCCGTCAGGTTTTGAAGGAGACTCTAAGGTTGTACCCTACAGCACCAGGCACTTCTCGCTTCATCCCCAACGACATCGTCATCAACGGCATCCCCGTCCCAGCAGGAGTCTCATGCTTCGTGAGTAGTCACCTCAAAATCAATGTGGATGAGTGTTGTTGTATGTTAAAGGGATACATGCTAGCAGATACCCATAGACTTCGTCATTGCGCTAATGCTAGTTAGCATTTGCTCGCAAAACTCCCTCTAACTTCCTTCATACTGGACACAGACACATAAAATGGTATCCACAAGTTCATCTGACTCTTGGGAAGTAGATTAAAATCCCAAAGTACCCCTTTAATATCTCTAAGTTTAGTGGTGGTGTTAACATGTGATACACTGTGGTACCTCAATATAGTAAAGTAAGTATCGTTGTCCAAGCCAGTATGGTTCATACCTCAATGTACTCTTAATTATTTAAGAATTCTTCTATAATTTACTTTTTTCCTGTTATACTGTAATGAAACCATGAAAAGTAGTGCAACTAAGCTGAGCGCTGGGTGTTTGAATGTAAACCCAATGTAAGTGTTTTAATACACAGACTGTGTTTTAAAACAGACATGTTGGAACTCAATCACCCAAAGTGGTTCTTCAACCTTAATATTGGTGTTTTTAAGAGAGTGTTGTGAAAACACTTTTTGGGGTTTCAGTGAATGTAAAAGGCAGCATCAATACACAAAAACTGTGTTGCTCATACAATCAATGGTTTAGAAATGCAAATTTTTATAGCCTAAATATTGATTGATGATGAGGGCCTATGGAGAATATTTTTGGTGGAATTCCACCAGATTAAAAAAAAGATGCTTTATTTTGACAGATTAGAAACAGGAAATGTTACCCACTCAACCACGCAGCCACACTAAGAAATGTTTCTGGGGTGAATTAAAATCAACAACAAAAAAATCAACAAACATATACTTCATAAAAATGAATATAAGTCGTGCAGAGCCCGTGGTCTAGCAGTAACACACCAGGCTTAGACAGGTCACCCCTTGCCCACCGAAGACCGGGGTTAAATTCCCCTCTCCCACCTACAGTGGGCAAAAAAAGTATTTAGTCAGCCACCAATTGTGCAAGTTCTCCCACTTAAAAAGATGAGAGAGGCCTGTAATTTTCATCATAGGTACACGTCAACTATGACAGACAAAATGATATTTTCTTCCTCCAGAAAATCACATTGTAGGATTTTTAATGAATTTATTTGCAAATTATGGTGGAAAATAAGTATTTGGTCAATAACAAAGTTTCTCAATACTTTGTTATATACCCTTTGTTGGCAATGACACAGGTCAAACATGTTCTGTAAGTCTTCACAAGGTTATCACACACTGTTGCTGGTATTTTGGCCCAATCCTCCATGCAGATCTCCTCTAGAGCAGTGATGTTTTGGGGCTATCGCTGGGCAACACAGGACTTTCAACTCCCTCCAAAGATTTTCTATGGGGTTGAGATCTGGAGACTGGCTAGGCCACTCCAGGACCTTGAAATGCTTCTTACGAAGCCACTCCTTCGTTGCCCAGGCGGTGTGTTTGGGATCATTGTCATGCTGAAAGACCCAGCCACGTTTCAGCTTCAATGCCCTTGCTGAAGGAAGGAGGTTTTCACTCAAAATCTCACGATACATGGCCCCATTCATTCTTTCCTTTACACGGATCAGTCGTCCTGGTCCCTTTGCAGAAAAACAGCCCCAAAGCATGATGTTTCCACCCCCATGCTTCACAGTAGGTATGGTGTTCTTTGGATGCAACTCAGCATTCTTTGTCCTCCAAACACGACGAGTTGAGTTTTAACCAAAAAGTTATATTTTGGTTTCATCTGACCATATGACATTCTCCCAATCCTCTTCTGGATCATCCAAATGCACTCTAGCAAACTTCAGACGGGCCTGGACATGTACTGGCTTAAGCAGGGGGACACATCTGGCACTGCAGGATTTGAGTCCCTAGCGGCGTAGTGTGTTACTGATGGTAGGGTTTGTTACTTTGGTCCCAGCTCTCTGCAGGTCATTCACTAGGTCCCCCCGTGTGGGTCTGGGATTTTTGCTCACCGTTCTTGTGATCATTTTGACCCCACAGGGTGAGATCTTGCGTGGAGCCCCAGATCGAGGGAGATTATCAGTGGTCTTGTATGTCTTCCATTTCCTAATAATTGCTCCCACAGTTGATTTCTTCAAACCAAGCTGCTTACCTATTGCAGATTCAGTCTTCCCAGCCTGGTGCAGGTCTACAATTTTGTTTCTGGTGTCCTTTGACAGCTCTTTGGTCTTGGCCATAGTGGAGTTTGGAGTGTGACTGTTTGAGGTTGTGGACAGGTGTCTTTTATACTGAGAACAAGTTCAAACAGGTGCCATTAATACAGGTAACGAGTGGAGGACAGAGGAGCCTCTTAAAGAAGAAGTTACAGGTCTGTGAGAGCCAGAAATCTTGCTTGTTTGTAGGTGACCAAATACTTATTTTCCACCATAATTTGCAAATAAATTCATAAAAAATCCTACAATGTGATTTGTCTGTCATAGTTGACGTGTACCTATGATGAAAATTACAGCCCTCTCTCATCTTTTTAAGTGGGAGAACTTGTACAATTGGTGGCTGACTAAATACTTTTTTCCCCCACTGTATCTGTATCCACTCTGTCGTTTCATAACTGTGTCAATAATGTGTCAAATAACCCCAAAATAAATATTTTTATTTTCATGCAAGTCATTTCAATGATTTGTTCATTTCATTTTAGCAAAATAATGTAAATCCAACTTTTAATATGTTGCTCAAAATGTAAGTATCTTTCATGAGGATAACCAAGAGAGAGACAATAGTGATTGAACCCATTGGAAGTCTTTGGTTTTAATCTCCTTGCATTTCCTATCTTGACGCGTGACTCTGTTTTTAATGGATTGTGGGTAATTCAACGTTTTTAGAATATGATTCTTTCACACAATGTTGTATGCATGTTTTGAAGAAAGAAAACGATATTTCTACATTGGTATTAAGCAGTTTGTTGTACCATGTGGTGTAATGTATCATGATGAACGAATATCAAAACCATCAGTAAAATTGACGTTCAATGAGGACAGCACCCATTCCCACATTCTTGCTTTTCAGTTGAAGAGGCAAGTGCAGAGTCCTCAGTTCTTGCAGTTCAACCTCCAGTTAGTGCTGGTGGTTTGAACGCTGTGCTTGACAATGCCTGCCAAAATGGTATACAGTATAATGGCAAATGATCAAATACATAACACAATGTTAAACATTAAGACACCAGACAAAGGGATCTAATTCTGCACTAGACAGGACTCAAAACACCAAAATACTGTTTTCAACCTTTACTGTTATAATAATAATAATAATATGCCATTTAGCAGACGCTTTTATCCAAAGCGACTTACAGTCATGCGTGCATACATTTTTGTGTATGGATGGTCCCAGAGATCGAACCCACTACCTTGGCGTTACAAGCGCCGTGCTCTACCAGCTGAGCTACAGAGGACCACTGTTAATGCTCCCAGTCCTTGGCAAGGTGTTGCACAATATTTGATTTAGTGATGTTACATCACACCATGTAACGTTTCAAAACATCTCAGGGTGATGTGTTTCAATACTCCAGCAAAGTTAAGGTTTCGTCTCCTTCAAGTTGGTGGCAGCTCAATTTGGTGTTACAAAGCACTTCATTTTAACAGTGTAGTCAACACCTCATTAACTATTTTGGGTTTGGAATTTTATTTAATTTTATTTCCTAAACTGTCTTACATCTTTTATGTTTGCCCCTATCTTGTCTGTTTACAGTTCAGTTCGTATGTCTGTGGAAGGTTGGATAAGTTCTTTGAGGACCCGCTGAAGTTTGACCCAGAGAGGTTCCATCCAGACGCTGCCAAGTAAGTCACCCGATACATTTGTATTGTTTTATTGTTTCTTTACAACATTTTAATTGATTAAAGCAGAACTTCTCTCGTTGAAAACGGCATACAGTGCATTCGTAAAGTATTCAGACCCGTTTAAAAACGTGACAGCCTTATTCTTAAATGGATTAAAAAAACAATTTTCCTCGTCAATCTACACACAATACCCCCTAATGACAAAGAGAAAACAGGTTTTTAGAAATGTTTGCAAATGTATTAAAAATAAAAAAACTGAAATACCTTTATTTACATAAGTATTCAGACCCTTTGCTATGAGATTCGAAATTGAGCTCAGGTGCATCCTGTTTGCATTGATCATCCTTGAGCTGTTTCTACAACTTGATTGGAGTCCACTTGTGGTAAATTCAATTGATTGGAAAAATTAAAACAAGCCATGAGGTCGAAGGAATTGTCCATAGAGCTCCGAGACAGGATTGTGTCGATGCACAGTTCTGGGGAAGGATACCAAAAAATGTCTGCAGCATTGACGGTCCCCAAAATAACAGTGTCCTCCATCATTCTTAAATGGAAGAAGTTTGGAGCCACCAAGACTCTTCCTAGAAATGACCACCCCGCCAAACTGAGCAATCAGGGGAGAAGGGCCTTGGTCAGGGAGGTGACCAAGAACCTGATGGTCACTCTGACAGAACTCCAGAGTTCCTCTGTGGAGATGGGAGAAACTTCCAGAAGGACAACCATCTCTGCAGCACTCCACCAATCAGGCCTTTATGGTGTTGTAGCCAGGCGGATGCTACTCCTCAGTAAAAGGCACATGACAGCCCACTTGGACCTAAAGGACTCAGACCATGAGAAACAAGATTCTCTTTGGCCTGAATGTCAAGCGTCACGTCTGGAGGAAACCAGGCACCATCCCTATGGTGAAGCATGGTGGTGGCAGCATCATGCTGTGGGGATGTTTTTCAGCGGCAAGTACTGGGAGACTAGTCAGTATCGAGGGAAAGATGAACGGAGCAAAGTACAGAGAGATCTTTGATGAAAACCTGCTCCAGTGCGCTCAGGACCTCAGACTGGGGCGAAGGTTCACCTTCCAACAGGACAATGACCCTAAGCACACAGCCAAGACAACGCAGGAGTGGCTTCGGGACAAGTCTCTGAATGTCCTTGTGTGGCCCAGCCAGAGCCCGGACTTGAACCCGATCTCTGGAGAGATCTGAAAATAGCTGTATGAATGGGAATGGGAGAAACTCTCCAAATACAGATGTGCCAAGCTTGTCGCGTCATACCCAAGAAGACTCAAGGCTGTAATCGCTGCCAAAGGTGCTTAAACAAAGTACTGAGTCTGAATACTAATGTAAATGTGATATTTCCGGTTTTTTTATATAGAGTTGAAATGTATTCAATTTTAAGTTTATATCCCAATATTACACTATATAAACTCAACAAAAAAAGAAACGTCCTCTCACTGTCAACTGCGTTTAATTTCAGCAAACTTAACATGTGTAAATATTTGTATGAACATAACAAGATTCAACAACTGAGACATAAACTGAAAAAGTTCCACAGACATGTGACTAACAGAAATTGAATAATGTGTCCCTGAACAAAGGGGGGTCAAAATCAAAAGTAACAGTCAGTATCTGGTGTGGCCACCAGCTGCATTAAGTACTGCAGTGCATCTCCTCCTCATGTTCTGCACCAGATTTGCCAGTCCTTGCTGTGAGATGTTACCCCACTCTTCCACCAAGGCACCTGCAAGTTCCCGGACATTTCTGTGGGGAATGGCCCTAGCCCTCACCCTCCGATCCAACAGGTCCCAGACGTGCTCAATGGGATTGAGATGCAGGCTCTTTGCTGGCCATGGCAGAACACTGACGTTCCTGTCTTGCAGGAAATCACGCACAGAACAAGCAGTATGGCTGGTAAAATTGTCATGCTGGAGGGTCATGTCAGGATGAGCCTGCAGGAAGGGTACCACATGACGGAGGAGGATGTCTTCCCTGTATTGCACAGCGTTGAGATTGCCTACAATGACAACAAGCTCAGTCCGATGATGCTGTGACGCACCGCCCCAGACCATGACGGACCCTCCACCTCCAAATCGATCCCGCTCCAAAGTACAGGCCTTGGTGTAACGCTCATTCCTTCGACGATAAACGCGAATCCAATCATCACCGCGACTCGTCAGTGAAGAGCACTTTTTGCCAGTCTTGTCTGGTCCAGTGACGGTGGGTTTGTGCCTATAGGCGACGTTGTTTCCGGTGATGTCTGGTGAGGACCTGCCTTACAACAGGCCTACAAGCCCTCAGTCCAACCTCTCTCAGCATATTGCGGACAGTCTTAGCACTGATGGAGGGATTGTGCGTTCCTGGTGTAACTCGGGCAGTTGATGTTGCCATCCTGTACCTGTCCCGCAGGTGTGATGTTCGGATGTACCGATCCTGTGCAGGTGTTGTTACACGTGGTCTGCCACAGCGAGGACGATCAGCTGTCCATCCTGTCTCCCTGTAGCGCTGTCTTAGGCATCTCACAGTACGGACATTGCAATTTATTGCCCTGGCCACATCTGCAGTCCTCATGCCTCCTTGCAGCATGCCTAAGGCACGTTCACGCAGATGAGCAGGGACCCTGAGCATCTTTCTTTTGGTGTTTTTCAGAGTCAGTAGAAAGGCCTCTTTAGTGACCTAAGTTTTCATAACTGTGACCTTAATTGCCTACCGTCTGTAAGCTGTTAGTGTCTTAACGACCGTTCCACAGGTGCATGTTCATTAATTGTTTATGGTTCATTGAACAAGCATGGGAAACAGTGTCTAAACCCTTTACAATGAAGATCTGTGAAGTTATTTGGATTTTTACAAATTATCTTTGAAAGACAGGGTCCTGAAAAAGGGACATTTCTTTTTTGCTGAGTTTACATCACAGAAGACTGAAACATAACAAAACATAGAAACACAAGATTTTCATTAAAGAAGTATATATATATATATATTAATTATGAAATTATGAGAAATATTAATAATATTCCACCCATGAGGCCAAAGAGGGCACTTTTGAACATTGATTGCAGGAAAGGGCTACCTTTGGTCATAAAGTCAGAGTTCGTCATGACTTACATGGGGGTTGGGTTTTGATTTCGACAGTGCCCACTTTCCCACTAACACAGGATAAAACGCTGTGGTGATTGGCTCTATCCGATGGTACGGCAGAACACACACACAGTGAGACAGACCTGCCCAGCAGCGCAGCGGATCGGACTTTGTTTACATAAGACAACATGTCGCGCATTTCTTACTTGAGAAATACTGCACTAAACACCTTGGCTAGATGTAAAATTGCGTGACTAAAACCTTGTCGACAAAAACCACGATTAATTACAGATTTCTTGAGTTAACTTGGATTCAATCTGACTATTTTGAGGAAGTGATACTGGCTTTGTTCCTATGGTGTCTTATGGGGGACAAACATCAGTAACTGCCACATCGATCCATCTCATTTTTCTTAATGAGCAACAGATGCGTAAATAACAGACATGTTGTGTTTGTTTCTGTCCTGAAGGCCCTATTACTGCTACTACCCCTTCGCCCTGGGACCACGCTCATGTCTGGGACAGAGCTTCGCACAGGTGAGCAGACTATCCATAGAAAATACATTGAAACAACTTGATTTGGGAGTGCTCTGTGCTGGTCCTATCATCCATCCTAGTTAGATTACTCCTGGACTACTGCCGCCAATATATACTTTTTAATAGTTGAGAACACCATATTTGTCATCCTTTAAAGAGATCTGTTGTTCACAGATGGAGGCGAAGGTAGTGATGGCCAAGCTGCTCCAGAGGTTTGACTTCAGCCTGCTGCCTGGCCAGTCCTTTGACATCCTGGACACTGGGACTTTGAGACCAAAGAGTGGAGTGGTGTGTAACATCAAACACCGAGGACAGACACCCGCAGCCTGACCTGACTGGGACCTGAACATGACTAGCACTTCTCTATAACTTACTTGTCTTATTCCTTATAGTTCCTACTGGGGCAAATGGCCTCTGCCTTATAAAATATCTAGCTATTTCTAATGAAAATTGATTTTTAGATACCTTTTTTTTTTTTTTCTTGTTTCAGGTCAACATCATAAACAAATTGTACCTGTGTTCATACATTTGTATTTTCAAAATGAAACAAGGAAACAGAAAATAATCAAACACCAAAACAAAACAATGACAGTAATCCAAAACTCACCAAAACAATAAGAATTCACTTTCAGTTCTCTGAAAATAGATTTTGAACAGTTGTTTATTTTTTTTAATCAATGGTGAAATAATATCTTAAATATAACGGTTCTATTTGATGAAGAGTGACTAGGACAGACCTGACATAGGAGTGTTTGTATTTGTACCGATTCCTTGTTGCTTAATACACTCTTATCCTGTTGTTACTATGCAGTATACCATTTATCACATTATATAAAGAGCTTTATAAAGTATATATTAACTTATTTGATGAATTTCCTAACCAACATTACCACAGTGCCTCTGTTGGAGAGCATTTACTATATATACTAGGCTTGGAGGGAAGCAAAAGTCATTCCGCTACCTAAGAATAGTACTGGCTCAAATAGCCAACCAATCAGCCTGTTACCAACCCTTAGTAAACTTTTGGAAAAAATGGATTGACCAGATACAATGCTATTTTACAGTAAACAAATTAACAAACTTTCAGCATGCTTATAGGGAAGGACATTCAACAAGCACAGCACTTACACAAATGACTGATGATTGGCTTAGAGAAATTGATGATATTGTGGGGGCTGTTTTGTTAGACTTCAGTGTGGCTTTTGACATTATTGATCATAGTCTGCTGCTGGAAAAACGTATGTGTTATGGCTTTACTCCACCTGCTATATTGTGGATACAGAGTTACCTGTCTAACAGAACACAGAGGGTGTTCTTTAATGGAAGCCTCTCCAACAAAATCCAGGTAGAATCAGGAATTCCCCAGGGCAGCTGTCTAGGCCCATTACTTTTTTCAGTCTTTACTAATGACATGCCACTGGCTTTGAGTAAAGCCAGAGTGTCTATGTATGTGGATGACTCAACACTATACATGTCAGTTACAACAGCGACTGAAGTGACTGCACCACTCAAAGACTTTCTTCAAGGTCCATAACCCCCCCCCCCCCCCCCCTACTTCCCAGTCCCTTCCGTACTGGCGTTGTAATCCTATTGAGCTGTTCCTGGACCAGTGGCCACCATTTTGAGAGCAGTACCTTCCCAGGGGACGAGCTGGGTGGCAAGGAATAAGTTAGTCCTAAATATTTCTAAAACTAAAAGCATTGTATTTTTGGGACAAATCCTTTACTAAACCCTAAACCTCAACTAAATCTTGAAATAAATTATGTGGAAATTGAGCAAGTTGAGGTGACTAAACTGCTTGGAGTAACCCTGGATTGTAAACTGTATAATGTGCCATTAAGCAGACGCTTTTATCCAAAGCGACTTACAGTCATGCGTGCATACATTATTTATTTTTTATATATGGGTGGTCCCGGGGATCGAACCCACTACCCTGGTGTTACAAGCGCCGTGCTCTACCAGCTGAGCTACAGAGGACCACATGCATACGCACACACGATAACATACGCACTATACACACACGTACACATGGATTTTGTATTGTAGATATGTCGTAGTGGTGGAGTAGGGGCCTGAGGGCACACAGTGTGTTGTGAAATCTGTGAATGTATTGTAATGTTTTTAAAATTGTATGAACTGCCTTAATTTTGCTGAACCCTAGGAAGAGTAGCTGCTGCCTTGGCAGCAGCTAATGGGGATCCATAATAAATACAAATACAAAAATTTAATGTGTTTTCATCACCTCAGAACACACAACGTTGATGTTATGAATTTAGATTTTATTTTTGTGATTCATAAAGAATGAGAAATGTATAGTGAAAAGTTAAGATTGAGAATTAAATGTATGAAAATAAATGCAATGTTAACTTTGCCAGGAAAATAGAATGATCTGGAAAAACGAGAATGCTGCTGATAGTGAGATTCATGTAATTTTGTAGGGAGAGGCTATAGTCAAGTTGGGCCCCGTGTAGCTCAGTTGGTAGAGCATGGCGCTTGCAACGCCAGGGTTGTGGGTTCAATTCCCACGGGGGGCCAGTATGAAAAAAACAAAAAACAAAAACATGTATGCACTCACTAACTGTAAGTCGCTCTGGATAAGAGCGTCTACTAAAATGTAAATGTGTTTGCTTAACTGGGGAAATGGGATGGAGAAATGGTTTACAATAGGCACAACCTGGTCTCACAGACTAGACATAACATAGTAAACATACATTTGGGACACTCAAATTAGTGTAACGCGAACATCTCAAGGTTGCGTGTTCAAATCTCATCATGGACAATTTTAGCATTTTAGTTAATAAGCAACTTTGCAACTACATGCAAAGTAGCTAAAAAGTAGTAACTACTTAGCATGTTAGCTAACCCTTCCCCTAACCCAGGGTTCTTCAATTCCGGTCCTGGAGGGCCGAAACACCTCTGTTTTTCATCCTCTCCTTCTAATCAGGGGCTAATTCAGACCTGGGACACCAAGTGCGTGCAATTAACTACCAGGTAGAAATAAAAAACAGAAGTGTTTCGGCCCTCCAGGACCGGAATTGAAGAACCCTGCCCTAACCTTAACCATTTAACCTAACCCCTAGCCTAGCTAACGTTAGCATTAGCACCTAGCTAATGTTACCCACAAAAATTTGAATTCGTAACATATCATACGTTTTGCAAATTCATAACATGTCATACTTTTTGCAAATTCGTAACATATTGTAAAAATTGCAATTCGGAACATTTCATACTAAATGGAGGATGAACATCCACAAATTAATACATAACATACAAAACATAACATATACTAATTGTGAGAGCTAATTGTAAGAGTGTGCAAAGCTGTCATCAAGGCAAAGGGTGGCAATTTGAAGAATCTCAAATATCCTCATCCAGTGACAAAACGGCAAATGATGCTTGATGGCGCAGTCTGGGAGGAAATTTGCTCTCTCGTTAAGCAATAGAGTGCATTAAGGGCAAAATCTAAGCTTGAGTGAGCACACACCTGTCTCCATGAGTCTGAATCAATAGACTGCAGACTGTGAACAATAATTTGTTTAATGTCAACCAGTGTTTCCAACCTTGTACATGTGTTTCTGCCTAATGCATTGAATCCCAAAACTGTTCTAAAATATGCTTTAAGTTCTTTGTGGATGTAACCTTTTGTTTTCTTAGGTTTTAAAATGGTGTGTTCTATATCTTCAATAACATTAAATGTGTACAACTGTGACATTAAAATGTTTAATGGTATTTTTCATCAGTTGTTTTATATGAAATGTAATTTCCACAACACTAAGTCATTACCACAACGCTAAGTCATTACCATCACGGTACATATTTTTGAGACAAAAATCATTGTCATATGAAGAGTAATAATGAAAATAAATTATAGATAAAAGGTATCGGTGCTCATCGGCCATTGGACATAAAGATTACTCAACAAGTTGGAAATCGCAAATTCACCAATGAGTGGTTTGGAAGGAATCAGTGGCTAACTGCAAGCATTGCAAAGCAATCACTAGCCTGCTATTCAGTGGAGTGGGTGTGTGGTCCCAAGTCCGGGTTTAAGGTTCTCTTTTCCAAGCTTAAAAGGATAAACCTTCAACATTGGCCATGCTTTCAATCCAGCATGACTTCTGCCGTGCTCAAAACAACTGGAAACTTGGAACTGGGAAATCTGACTTCAGTGAGTTCAAGACAACTGGGAACATGGAAAGAAATAAGCTCCGACTGGGAAAATACATTTTGAACGGTCATCCAACTCGGAATTGCAAGTCAGGAACTCTGGCCTCTTTCTAGTGTTCTGACCTGAAGATCACTGACGTCATCATGATTCGATCTTGTTTTTGCCCCCGAGTTCCCAGTTGTCTTGAAAGCACCATAAATCCAGAGAGTGCCAGACTTTGATGACAATGTTTGATGACAAAATTTGCCCACGAAGGACCACCGCGTCACCTTCCTGTTCAAGTGAGCCCAGCACAAGGTGAGTCTAAAAATGTCTTGTATGTTGCTGCATAAATAATGTAATATGCCAGGGAGATATGTATACTGTCTGTAGCTAAGAAAGTAATACTAAGTGTATGTTGTGGAAAGTAATACTAAGTGTATGTTGTGTAGTAAGCTGTTAGTAGCCCATGTGCCTCACCCTAATAATTTGCTACATGGCCACTACAAACTTCAGCTAACATTAGCCACCATAAGCTAACAATCAATGGAAGTGATGGGGGCATTTGAGCATGTTTTTTAAAATTATGTTAAATCATCTGACATCAATTCAACTAAACTCCATATTTGGTTTAATGTTACTTAAAGGTGATTTGGCAATTTAAAAAAAACTAAACATGCTCACATGACCCCATCACTTCCATTGATTGTTAGCTTATGGTGGCTAAAGTTAGCTGAAGTTTGTAGTGGCTGTTGAAGAAAACTGAACCATGGATTACAGTTTCTCCTGGCCCATAGACTACTTTCAGGGTGAGGAACCATCTAACATCAAGTTGTAAAATAGTGAACATTTCCTTTAAGAGCAACTTGAGATGAAGTGTGAAACAATGTCATCCATCTCTCAGCTGCTGAATGACAGTGTTGAGGAAGCTACTCTGAAATCATAGTTTACCAAACGACCAATTACTTCACACTAGAAGACGTTCAGCTACACAAAAACTACCCTTAAAGGGATTCTAGCATAGATACACATAGACTTCCAGTCATTGCGCTAATGCTAGTTAGCATTGGCTCGCAAAACTACCTCTAATTTCCACATTGTCAAAATCCCGACGTATCCCTTCAAGAAAAACTTAACGAAAGCTACTTTGAAAAAGTTGTTCACTACATCCAAGCTACTTCGGGAAAAATGATCATATCTAAATCTGAAATGTCATGGACTACAAATTGCAAGAACAGATCACTCTGGGAACAAGTGTTAACAGAATGTGAAATTTAGCCTAATAAAACACAAAAACTGTTTCAAATGAGAATTAGGAAGGTCTGATGCTGAAAAATAAAGGAAATTCTATATTTCACCTATATTTTCTTCTCTTTTTGCAAAAAAACATCGCTACATGGTAAAACAGTAATGAACTACTGGTAACACTAACAAGATTTGAATTAATGTCCAAATCACCTGAAATCAATTCAAATCAACTCCATATTTGGTTTGATGTTATTTAAAGGTGATTTGGCCATTTAAAAAAAAATGGTCACACACCCCCATCACTTCCATTGATTGTTAGCTTGTGGTTAGCTGAAGTTTGTAGAGGCTGTTTAAAGAAAACTGAACCATGGATTACAGTTTCTCCTGGCCCATATATTTATTTATTTATTTATTATGTTTAGCTAAAATAATATAATTTAAAAGTATGCATTAAGATGTCTGCAATAGAGTAAATGTGTCAAAAACGAATGTAGACATTAATAATTTTGACATTAATAATTTTACACACACTATGTAGCGACTGCTCACACTCCACCTCCCTTTACATTTCTCTCTTTACTCACCCTCTTCTGATCCATGATAATGTAGCCTATCTCTGCCTCATATTTCTGAACAGCTGAAATAAATAAAAACCTGCCGCAATTTGAACTAACATTTTTATTGAAGACTATACAACCTTCTCTGTCTGTTGTAAATGATATTGCGGTTGAACAAGCAGGACGCAGTCCCTAGCAAAAACAATCTGCGTTTTGTATGGTGATGTAGGCTAATATTCACAGTTGCTGCCATATCGTAGCCACTAGCCAGAATTCCTGAAAAAAGTTTTGCAATGGGGCAAAAAACAATCTGCGCTTTAACCACTAAATGATCATGCAAGTACCGAACAAGTAGGCTACCTGTTCAACCTCTGGCCAGTAAAATGTCCTACGCAGCCCGAAACAGGGAACACTGAGCAGAAGCTACGTAAACAGGTGTGGACAGCAGCTACCGCTCATGCGCAGAAATCTCTGTATCAATAGTCACGGCAAATCGGGTTCCAGAATATCCGGAATCGCAGCCACTCCATAATAATTAATGATCCGATTTTGGGCGGAGTAAACCCTCTCGCTTCGCCTCTTCCTCTCTGCTGCTAGGACTATCTGTGACCAAATTCCGTCAAAAAAAACGACCACATAACTGGTTTGCACGGTCACCGCGAGCTATCTAGTCTTCGGCAATATGGCACTTTTTCATTTGATTGCAAGTTGGATCGGTTATTTGATTATATGCATGCTTGGTTTGATTTTGATCGCGTTTCTCATTTTTTGTCTTTACATAAAATATATTCATCTGAAATATGATCACATACCGGGACCACCAAGGGATAGGTGAGTCAGTATTATGTAACTTGAATATTTCTTTTAAAACGCTGTAGCTAAATGTTAGTTTCAACTATATTGAGTGACAACATAATGCATCAGATTTGTTGATAAGGAACTAGGTGAAAGTTAACCTCAACAGCTGCTAGGGTCGCTGTTTCACCTGTCTTTTTCATTTTCACAAGGTGAAAGTATCTCTCATGTCATAACATCCTTATTTTCCAGTTATGGATTAAACCGTCTCTTGTTCTCCCCCAGTTTTATATTTGGACATTCCCCAACCATTCTGCGTGAGATGAGCAATGGTCGAGTTACCCACGACAAATTCCTGGAATGGTGAGTTGAACGCTGGAGCAGCAGTGGTCACACACATTGAATCAGGTGTTGTGAATCCTGAGACAATAAAGATCTATTGTATCTTTGACAGGTCTGAGACATATGGACCTGTGTACCGTATTAATGGGTTGCATGTTGTGATGCTGTGTGTCACCTGTCCTGATACCACCAAGGTAAACCTGGGAAATTACTATAATTATGATCTCTGATGGACAGACTACGTAAACATCTGACCAAATTAAGCAAGATTTTAGTTCTTGGTTAACTGAGAATAATGTAATTCTAAATTTTTGCATGTTAATTTCTGAAATGAAAGTGCTGTAAAATAACCCATTTCCTCAATTCCCCCTTCAAACCAAACTCACACTTTGCTTTGTCTCCACAGGAAGTCCTGATGTCACCAAAGTACCCCAAAGACTCACTGGTCTACAAGCGTCTCTTCAACCTGTTTGGACAGAGGTGAGTCCTCAGTATTGTATTATTAATGTTATCTAAATATACTTCCTACTACTACTTATTGTGTCAACGTTTTGGTCAGTACAAACTATTTCAATACAATCCCTCCTAATGCTGGTTATTGCATGCGTAGCCTACACAGCATATAGACATTCAAACAGGACAACTTGGTCACTGGTCAGTTGATTCAGTGTTAGGGTAAATACTCTGTTGTCCTTCTTCTCCATAGGTTTTTGGGAAGTGGCCTGGTCACAGCACAGAATCATGATGTTTGGTACAAACAGCGAAGAATAATGGACCCTGCCTTCAGCAGTCTGTAAGTCACTTATCCATTTCACATGATGTAATAATCAGTTGATCACTCCATTGAGCAATCCATCCAGCCATCCATCTGTTCATCCATCCATCCATCCATCATTGCTGTGTATTGCTAGGTACCTGCGGGGTCAGATGGGTGCGTTCAACGAGAGGGCAGAGAACCTGATGGATAAACTGGCGGACATGGCTGACAACAACACAGCTGCCAACATGCACCACATGTTCAACCGTGTGACATTGGATGTCATCACTAAGGTAACAGTCACTTCCTGTTCCCCTCAGATCACCACACTGCCCTTACACTTTATTATTTCTGTTATAAAGCTACATTTGTTTCTATATATGACAATAAAATAGTCATAACAGGCTGTATTTTGCTTATGACAACTGATAACACACTCATTACCTAAGCTATATACAATTTAGTCTAAGCAAGCCAATGTGCTAGCTACAATTAGCATAACTAGAACCAGGAGTTTTACCTTATCATGTTGTAAGAAGTTGTCAATCCTCTGTTTTTATATCATCTGTAGGTGGCGTTTGGAGTGGAGCTGGATCTACTGAAGGAGAGTGACACTCCATTCCCCAACGCCATAGAGATGTGTCTGAAGGGAATGGTCCACTATCTCAGAGACTCCACCTTCCAGGTAAATAGTTACATAAAGTATGTTAGTGATGCTTCTCAAGAACGATGGCTTATTGAATTCTCATCAACGAAAAAGAGTAATCAAATTAAGATCCTACATCTGTAGCTCTACCCAAAGAACAAGAAGTTCATCAACGAGGTGAAAGAGTCTGTTCATCTGCTGCGTTCGACAGGCAGGCAGTGGATCAACGAGAGGAAAATGGCCGTCCAAAATGGCGAGGACGTTCCAAAAGACATCCTCACACAGATCCTCAAGACGGCTGGCAAAGGCATGTTGTAGTAGCCTGATCACAGATCTGTTTGTTCTGTCTTGCCAACTCCTGCCACTGTTCATGACAAGACGGCACAAACAGATCTGGGACCAGGCTAACATTGGAGACCTTTTACCGGTGGTAAAACAAGTAAAACCTGTGGTGAGACAAGTGCTTGCTAAAACAGTCATGATATTGATGAGGTTCAGTAGCAGCAGGGCTGGATTAATACAGGGGTTTACCGGGGCTTAAGCCCCTGGGCCCAGGCCCATGGTGGGCCGCCCAAGAGGCAGCAAAAATAAATAAAAAATAATGATATTTTCAACAAATAAATTGAAATATATACCGTATATATTATATATACTGAACAAAAATTCAAACGCAACAATTCCTAAGATTTTTGCTGAGTTGTTGTCCATAGCTTATGTCTGCCCATACCATAACCCCACCGCCACCTTGGGGGCACTCTGTTCAAAGTGTTGACATCAGCAAACAGCTCGCCCATACGACACCATACACGTGGTCTCCGGTTGTGAGGCCAGTTGAACGTACTGCCAAATTCTCTGAAACAACGTTGGAGGAGGCTTATGGTAGCAGCTGGCAACAACTCTGGTGAACATCCCTGCAGTCAGCATGCCAATTGCACGCTCCCTCAAAACTTGAGACATCTGTGGCATTATGTTTTGTGACAAAACTGCACATTTTAGAGCAGCGTTTTTTGTCCCCAGCACAAGGTGCACCTGTGTAATGATCATGCAATGAACATTTGAGAGAAATAAGCTTTTTGTGCATATGGAAAATGTCTGGGATATTTTATTTCAGCTCATGAAACATGGGACCAACACTTTACATGTTGCATTTACATTTTTGTTCAGTGAATATAGTACATAAGTTTTTTTGTTTTACTGAATCGGCCAACCACAGGAGGTTTTCAGGAGTCCGCTCTCAATGAGAGGAGGAGATGGGGGAGGAGAGAAGGTAGGGGGTACACATGGGTAACTGGGGGGCCCTGCCTTGATTGGGTAACTGCTTAATAAAAAATATAAATAAATAAGCTGCGAGTATAGGGGTTGGGCCTAAGCCCCTAAGGGGGCCCAAGAGGCAAAATAAAATACTTTTTTTGATCAACCATGGCAAGGTGACTGGGAATATGGCAGAATACAACCAGTGTAGCTACTCACTCCGCAAGGCAATTAAACTGGCAAAACATCAGTATAGAGACAAAGTGGAGTCGCAATTCAACAGCTCAGACACAAGACATATGTGGCAGGGTCTACAGACAATCACGGACTACAAAAGGAAAACCAGCCACATCGCCGACACAGACGTCTCGCTTCCAGACAAGCTAAACACCTTCTTCGCCCGCTTTGAGGATAACACAGTGCCTCTGACGAGGCCCACTACCAAGGACTGTGGCCTCTCCTTCTCTGTGGCCGACGTGATTAAGACATTTAAGCATGTTAACCCCCTCAAGGCTGCCGGCCCAGACTGCATTGCAAGCCGCGTCCTCAGAGCATGCGCAGACCAGCTGGCTGGTGTGTTTATGGACATATTCAATCACTCCCTTTCCCAGTCTGCTGTTCCCACATGCTAGGGCGGCAGGTAGCGTAGTGGGTAAGAGCGTTGTGCCAGTAACCGAAAGGTTGCTGGTTCTAATCCCCGAGCCGCCTAGGTGAAAAATCTGTCGATGTGCCCTTAAGCAAGGCACTTAACCCTAATTGCTCCTGTAAGTCGCTCTGGATAAGACCGTCTGCTAAATGACTAAAATGAAAAATGTAATGCTTCAAGATGGCCACCATTGTTCCTGTACCCAAGAAAGCAAAGGTAACTGAACTAAATGACTATCGCCCTGTAGCACTCACCTCTGTCATCATGAAGTGCTTTGAGAGACTAGTCAAGGATCATATCACCTCTACCTTACCTGTCACCTTAGACCCACTTCAATTTGCTTACCGCCCCAATAGGTCCACAGACGATGCAATCGCCATCACACTGCACACTGCCCTATCCCATCTGGACAAGAGGAATACCTATGTAAGATTGCTGTTCATTGACTATAGCTCAGCATTCAACACCATAGTACCCTCCAAGCTCATCATCAAGCTCGAGGCCCTGGGTCTGAACCCCGCCCTGTGCAACTGGGTCCTGGACTTCCTGATGGACCGCCCCCAGGTGGTGAAGGTAGGAAACAACATCTCCACTTCGCTGATCCTCAACACTGGGGCCCCACAAGTGTGCGTGCTCAGCCCCCTCCTGTACTCCCTGTTCACCAATGACTGCGTGGCCAAGCACGCCTCCAACTCAATCATCAAGTTTGCAGACAACACAACAGTAGTAGGCTTGATTACCAACAATGACGAGACCGCCTACAGGGAGGAGGTGAGGGCTCAGGGAGTGTGGTGGCAGGAAAATAACCTCTCACTCAACGTCAACAAAACAAAGGAGATGATCGTGGACTTCAGGAAACAGTAGAGGGTGCACCCCCCTGTCCACATCGACGGGACCGCAGTGGAGAAGGTGGAAAGCTTCAAGTTCCTTGGCGTACACATCACTGACATACTGAAATGGTCCACCCACGCAGACAGTGTGGTGAAGAAGGCCCAACAGAGCCTCTTCAACCTCAGGAGGCTGAAGAAATTCGGCTTGGCACCTAAAACCATCACAAACTTTTATAGATGCACAATTGAGAGCATCATGTCGGGCTGTATCACCGCCTGGTACAGCAACTGCACCGCCCGCAACCGCAGGGCTCACCAGAGGGTGGTGCGGTCTGCCGAACGCATTACCGGGGGCAAACTACCTGCCCTCCAAGACAACTACAGCACCCGATGTCACAGGAAAGACAAAAAGATCATCAAGGACATCAACCACCCGAGCCACTGCCTGTTCAGTTCATCCCGCTTTCATCCAGAAGGCGAGGTCAGTACAGGTGCATCAAAGCTAGGACCGAGAGAATGGATAAACAGCTTCTATCTCAAGGCCATCAGACTGTTAAATAGCCATCACTAGCACATTAGAGGCTGCTGCTGCCTATTGAAATCACTGGCCACTTTAAGAATTGGAACACTAGTCACTTTAATAATGTTTACATATCTTGCGCTACTCATCTCATATGTATATACTGCATTCTATTCTATAATATTCTACTGTATCTTAGTCCATGCCGCTCTGTCATTGCTTGTCCATATATGTATATATTCTTAAATTCCATTCCTGACTAGTTTTGTGTGTATTGGGTATATGTTGTGAAATTGTTAGATATTACTGCACTGTCGTAGCTAGAAGCACAAGCATTTCGCTACACCCGCTATAACATCTGCTAAACACGTGTATGTGACAAATACAATTTTATTTTATTTTATTTGAGTAGCACTATTGTCTCAATGCTGTAAACTGATATACAGTGGGGAGAACAAGTATTTGATACACTGCCGATGTTGCAGGTTTTCCTACTTACAAAGCATGTAGAGGTCTGTCATTTTTATCATAGGTACACTTCAACTGTGAGAGACGGAATCTAAAACAAAAATCCAGAAAATCATATTTTATGATTTTTAAGTAATTAATTTGCATTTTATTGCATGACATAAGTATTTGATACATCAGAAAAGCAGAACTTAATATTTGGTACAGAAACCTTTGTTTGCAATTACAGAGATCATACATTTCCTGTAGGTCTTGACCAGGTTTGCACACACTGTAGCAGGGATTTTGGCCCACTCCTCCATACAGACCTTCTCCAGATCCTTCAGGTTTCGGGGCTGTCGCTGGGCAATACGGACTTTCAGCTCCCTGCAAATATTTTCTATTGGGTTCAGGTCTGGAGACTGGCTAGGCCACTCCAGGACCTTGAGATGCTTCTTACGGAGCCACTCCTTAGTTACCCTGGCTGTGTGTTTCGGGTCATTGTCATGCTGGAAGACTCAGCCACGACCCATCTTCAATGCTCTTACTGAGGGAAGGAGGTTGTTGGCCAAGATCTCGCGATACATGGCCCCATCCATCCTCCCCTCAATACGGTGCAGTCGTCCTGTCCCCTTTGCAGAAAAGCATCCCCAAAGAATGATGTTTCCACCTCCATGCTTCACGGTTGGGATGGTGTTCTTGGGGTTGTACTCATCCTTCTTCTTCCTCCAAACATGGCGAGTGGAGTTTAGACCAAAAAGCTATATTTTTGTCTCATCAGACCACATTACCTTCTCCCATTCCTCCTCTGGATCATCCAGAGGATCATTGGCAAACTTCAGATGGGCCTGGACATGCGCTGACTTGAGCAGGGGGACCTTGCGTGTGCTGCAGGATTTTAATCCATGACGGCGTAGTGTGTTACTAATGGTTTTCTTTGAGACTGTGGTCCCAGCTCTTTTCAGGTCATTGACCAGGTCCTGCCGTGTAGTTCTGGGCTGATCCCTCACCTTCCTCATGATCATTGATGCCCCACCAAGTGAGATCTTGCATGGAGCCCCAGACCGAGGGTGATTGACCGTCATCTTGAACTTCTTCCATTTTCTAATAATTGCGCCAACAGTTGTTGCCTTCTCACCAAGCTGATTGCCTATTGTCCTGTAGCCCATCCCAGCCTTGTGCAGGTCTACAATTTTATCCCTGATGTCCTTACACAGCTCTCTGGTCTTGGCCATTGTGGAGAGGTTGGAGTCTGTTTGATTGAGTGTGTGGACAGGTGTCGTTTATACAGGTAACGAGTTCAAACAGGTGCAGTTAATACAGGTAATGAGTGGAGAACAGGAGGGCTTCATAAAGAAAAACTAACAGGTCTGTGAGAGCCGGAATTCTTACTGGTTTGTAGGTGATCAAATACTTATGTCATGCAATAAAATGCAAATTAATTACTTAAAAATCATACAATGTGATTTTCTGAAAAAAAGTATTTAGTCAGCCACCAATTGTGCAAGTTCTCCCACTTCAAAAGATGAGAGAGGCCTGTAATTTTCATCATAGGTACACATAAACTATGACAGACAAAATGAGAAAAAGAAATCCAGAAAATCACATTGTAGGATTTTTTATGAATTTATTTACAAATTATGGTGGAAAATAAGTATTTGGTCACCTACAAACAAGCAAGATTTCTGGCTCTCACATACCTGTAACTTCTTTTTTAAGAGGCTCCTCTGTCCTCCACTCGTTACCTGTATTAATGGCACCTGTTTGAACTTGTTATCAGTATAAAAGACACCTGTCCACAACCTCAAACAGTCACACTCCAAAGTCCACTATGGCCAAGACCAAAGAGCTGTCAAAGGACACCAGAAACAAAATTGTAGACCTGCACCAGGCTGGGAAGACTGAATCTGCAATAGGTAAGCAGCTTGGTTTGAAGAAATCAACTGTGGGAGCAATTATTAGGAAATGGAAGACATACAAGACCACTGATAATCTCCCTCGATCTGGGGCTCCACGCAAGATCTCACCCCGTGGGGTCAAAATGATCACAAGAACGGTTAGCAAAAATCCCGGAACCACACGGGGGGACCTAGTGAATGACCTGCAGAGAGCTGGGACCAAAGTAACAAAGCCTACCATCAGTAACACACTACGCCGCCAGGGACTCAAATCCTGCAGTGCCAGACGTGTCCCCCTGCTTAAGCCAGTACATGTCCAGGCCCGTCTGAAGTTTGCTAGAATGCATTTGGATGATCCAGAAGAGGATTGGGAGAATGTCATATGGTCAGATGAAACCAAAATAGAACTTTTTGGTAAAAACTCAACTCGTCGTGTTTGGAGGACAAAGAATGCTGAGTTGCATCCAAAGAACACCATACCTACTGTGAAGCATGGGGGTGGAAACATCATGCTTTGGGGCTGTTTTTCTTCAAAGGGACCAGGACGACTGATCCGTGTAAAGGAAAGAATGAATGGGGCCATGTATCGTGAGATTATGAGTGAAAACCTCCTTCCATCAGCAAGGGCATTGAAGATGAAACGTGGCTGGGTCTTTCAGCATGACAATGATCCCAAACACACTGCCCGGGCAACGAAGGAGTGGCTTCGTAAGAAGCATTTCAAGGTCCTGGAGTGGCCTAGCCAGTCTCCAGATCTCAACTCCATAGAAAATCTTTGGAGGGAGTTGAAAGTCCGTGTTGCCCAGCGACAGCCCCAAAACATCACTGCTCTAGAGGAGATCTGCATGGAGGAATGGGCCAAAATACCAGCAACAATGTGTGAAAACCTTGTGAAGACTTACAGAAAACGTTTGACCTGTGTCATTGCCAACAAAGGGTATATAACAAAGTATTGAGAAATACTTATTTTCCACCATAATTTGCAAATAAATTCATTAAAAATCCTACAATGTGATTTTCTGGATTTTTTTCTTCTCATTTTGTCTGTCATAGTTGACGTGTACCTATGATGAAAATTACAGGCCTCTCTCATCTTTTTAAGTGGGAGAACTTGCACAATTGGTGGTTGACTAAATACTTTTTTCCCCCACTGTATATCCATCATTTCAGAAGAAAACATAGCAAACGATGATGAGGAGGTTATGCTGGACAACTTTGTGACGTTCTTCATTGCGGGTACGTCTCCCTGAAACAAGTGCTGTTCTTTATTTTTTTTATGAATCCATCTTAGTAATATAGTTTTTCCCACACAATTGATATTTAAAGAAACTACAGTGACAGTACTTTTGTTGTTTTAATCTTGACAGGGCAAGAGACAACAGCCAATCAACTAGCTTTTGCAGTTATGGAACTGGGAAGGCTGCCAGAGATATTGACAAAGTAGGACTTGTTTTCATAATTTCTATTTTGGTTATTGATAGTTTCTGTATTAAAAACAGGTTGGTTGAGTTTGTGAGTGTCTCTGACCTCTCCAGGGTGAAGCAGGAAGTGGATGATGTCATTGGGATGAAACAGGAAATCAGCTTTGACGACCTGGGGAAAATGACCTACCTGTCCCAGGTCTGTTTGTGTTGTCTTGTCATTACTAATTACTAGTACTATACAAAAAAGTATAATACTGCAAAGTTGCTTAGGAGCTAGAAGCAGAGCTGCCATGTCTGTTGGCGCAATCTCAACTATACTTGTACTATATTAACTGCAGTTGTGTGACCAACTGGATGTTAACCCGGTTCGTCTGCATGGTAAAAGACTGCATTAGCTGGCTGAGCTAAAGCCTAGGCATTACATCCCACTAGGCAAAAACTGGTTCAGTCAACATTGTTTCCATGTCATTTCAACTAAAATAATCTATGTGATGACGTTGAATCAACGTGGGAAACTGATTGGATTTGAAAAAAGACATCAACGTAAGGGCATTTTGTCTTTTTTCACGCAACTTTTAAATGGTGAAATGTTTTGTTGATTTCACTTTTAATTCACGTTGACAACTCAATCAAATCTAAATCAAAGCTAGACATTGAACTGTCTGTGCCCAGTGGGATGTACCTCAGGGAGATAACGCAAGTGTTCAAGTCTCAGGTCAGGTAACTCTTCACATGGTTAATCAGCATGTTGTGTTTGATTAATATAATCTCCCCCGTCAGGTTTTGAAGGAGACTCTAAGGTTGTACCCTACAGCACCAGGCACTTCTCGCTTCATCCCCAACGACATCGTCATCAACGGCATCCCCGTCCCAGCAGGAGTCACATGCATCGTGAGTAGTCACCTCAAAATCAATGTGGATGAGTGTTGTTGTATGTTAATATCTCAAAGTTTAGTGGTGGTGTTAACATGTGATACGCTTTGGTACCTCAATGTAGTAAAGGAATTAAGTAGCCTTGTCCAAGCCAGTATGGCTTATACCTCAATGTGCTCCCAATTATTTGGTGGATAGATTTTTTATTTTTCTATAATTTACTTTTTTTCTGTTACACTGTAAAAAAAAAAAAAAAGTCTCAAAACACCATGATTGTGTAATGAAACCATGAAAAGTTGTGCAACTAAGCTGAGCTCTGGGTGTTTGAATGTAAACCCAATGTAAGTGTTTTAATAGTCTCCAAGTCCAGAACAGACTGTGGGAGCTGCACAGTACTACATAGAGCCATGACTACATGGACCTCTATTCCACGTCAAGTAACTGATGCAAGCAGTAAAATTAGATTTTAAAAAAATAGATAAAAATACACCTTATGGAACAGTGGGGACTGTGAAGCAGCACAAACATAGGCACAGACACATGCATACAAACACAGGATAACATACGCACTAAACACACACGTACACATGGATTTTGTGTTGTAGATATGTGATAGTGGAGTAGGGGCCTGAGCACACACACTTAATGTGTTGTGAAATCTGTTATAAATGTATTGTAATGTTTTTTAAATTGTTTAACTGCCTTAATTTTGCTGGACCCCAGGAAGAGTAGCTGCTGCCTTGGCTGCAGCTAATAGGGATCCATAATAAATACAAATACAAATACACAGAATGTGTTTTAAAACAGAAATTTAGGAACTCCGAAACACCCAAAGTGTTTCTTCAACCTTAATATTGATGTTTTTAAGAGAGTGTTGTGAAAACACTTTTTGGGGTTTCAGTGAATGTAAAACGCAGCATCAATACACAAAAACTGTGTTGCTCATACAATCAATGGTTTAGAAATGCAAATGTTTATAGCCTAAATATTGTTTAATGAAAAGGGCCTATGGAGAATATTTTTGGTGGAATTCCACCTTTATTCTTTGAATACTTTATTTAGACAGGTTGGAAACGGGAGGGCAGTAAGAAGATACATTTTGTTGAGATTTTACCAACTCAACCACGCAGCCACACTGTAAGAAATAATACTGGGCTGAATTGAAATGTACAAAAAATCAAAAAACATATACTTCATAAAAATGAATGTAAGTCGTGCAGAGCCCCTGGTCTAGCAGTAACACACCAGGCTTAGACAGGTCACCCCTTGCCCACCGAAGACTGGGGTTAAATTCCCTGCTCCCTACAGTTGAAGTCGGAAGTTTACTTACACCTTAGCCAAATACATTTAAACTCAGTTTTTCAAAATTCCTGACATTTAATCCTAGTAAAAATTCCCTGTCTTAGGTCAGTTAGAATCACCACATTATTTTAAGAATATGAAATGTCAGAATAATAGTAGAGAGAATGATTTATTTCAGCTTTTATTTCTTTCATCACATTCCCAGTGGGTCTGAAGTTTACATACACTCAATTAGTATTTGGTAGCAATGCCTTTAAATTGTTTAACTTGGGTCAAACGTTTCGGGTAGCTTTCTCAAGCTTCCCACAATAAGTTGGGTAAATTTTGTCCCATTCCTCCTGACAGAGCTGGTGTAACTGAGTCAGGTTTGTAGGCCTCCTTGCTCGCACACGCTTTTTCAGTTCTGCCCTCACATTTTCTATAGGATTGAGGTCAGGGCTTTGTGATGGCCACTCCAATATCTTGACTTTGTTGTCCTTAAGCCATTTTGCCACAACTTTGGAAGTATACTTGGGGTCATTGTCCATTTGGAAGACCCATTTGAGACCAAGCTTTAACTTCCTGACTGATGTCTTGAGATGTTGCTTCAATATATCCACATTATTTTCCTTCCTCATGATGCCATCTATTTTGTGAAGTGCACCAGTCCCTCCTGCAGCAAAGCACCCCCACAGCATGATGCTGCCACCCCCGTGCTTCACGGCTGGGATGGTGTTCTTCGGCTTGCAAGCGTCCCCCTTTTTCCTCCAAACATAACGATGGTCAATATGGCCAAACAGTTCTATTTTTCTTTCATCAGACCAGAGGACATTTCTCCAAAAAGTATGATCTTTGTCCCCATGTGCAGTTGCAAACCGTAGTCTGGCTTTTTTATGGCGGTTTTGGAGCAGTGGCTTCTTCCTTGGTTTGCGGCCTTTCAGGTTATGTTGATATAGGACTCATTTTACTGTGGATATAGATACTTTTGTACCTGTTTCCTCCAGCAAGTTCCTTTGCTGTTGTTCTGGGATTGATTTGCACTTTCCGCACCAAAGTACGTTCATCTCTAGGAGACAGAACGCGTCTCCTTCCTGAGCGGTATGATGGCTGCGTGGTCCCATGGTGTTTATACTTGCATGCTATTGTTTGTACAGATGAACGTTGTACCTTTAGGCATTTGGAAATTGCTCCCAAGGATGAACCAGACTTGTGGAGGTCTACAATTTTTTTTCTGAGGTCTTGGCTGTTTTCTTTTGATTTTCCCATGATGTCAAGCAAAGAGGCACTGAGTTTGAAGGTAGGCCTTGAAATACATCCACAGGTACACCTCTAATTGACTCAAATTATGTCAATTGGCCTATCAGAAGCTTCTAAATCCATGACATCATTTTCTGGAATTTTCCAAGCTATTTAAAGGCAAAGTCAACTTAGTGTATGTAAACTTCTGACCCACTGGAATTGTGATAGTGAATTATAAGTGAAATAATCTGTCTGTAAACAATTGTTGGAAAAATTACTTGTGTCATGCACAAAGTAGATGTCCTAACCGACTTGCCAAAACGATAATTTGTTAACAAGAAATGTGTGGAGTGGTTGAAAAACTAGTTTTAATGGCTCCAACCTAAGTGTATGTAAACTTCCGACATCAACTGTATCTGTATCCACTCTGTCATTTCATAACTGTGTCAATAATGTGTCAAAATAACCCCAACATTTAAAAAAATTTTTTCATGCAAGTCATTTCAATGATTTGTTATTTTCATTTTAGCAAAATAATGTAAATATAACTTTTAATATGTTGCTCAAAATGTAAGTATCTTTCATGAGGATAACCAAGAGAGAGACAATAGTGATTGAACCCATTGGAAGTCTTTGGTTTTAATCTCCTTGCATTTCCTATCTTGACGCGTGACTCTGTTTTTAAAGGATTGTGGGTAATTCAACGTTTTTAGAATATGATTCTTTCACACAATGTTGTATGCATGTTTGAAGAAAGAAAACTATATTTCTATATTGGTATTAAGCTTGTTGTACCATGTGGTGTAATGTATCATGATGAACGGATATCAAAACCATGAGGCAATTTGACATTCAATGAGGACAGCACCCATTCCCACATTCAGAATTTTCAGTTGAAGAGGCCAGTGCAGAGTCCTCATTTCTTGCAGTTCAACCTCCAGTTAGTGCTGGTGGTTTGAAAGCTGTGCTTGACAATGCCTGCCAAAATGGTATACAGTATAATGGCAAATGATCAAATACATCACACAATGTTAAATATAAAGACACCAGACAAAGGGATCTAATTCTGCAATAGACAGGACTCGAAACACCAAAATAGTGTTTTCAACCTTTACTGTTAATGCTCCCAGTCCTTGATAAGGTGTTGCACAATATTTGATTTAGCGGTGTACTCCGGCAAAGTTAAGGTTTCGTCTCCTTCAAGTTGGTGGCAGCCAGTTGCCACTAGTTTTGGTGTTACAAAGCACTTCATTTTAACAGTGTAGTAAACACCTCATGAACTATTTTGGGTGTGGGTGCACTTATTTTATTTACTAAACTGTCTTACAACTTATGTTTGCCCCTATCTTGTCTGTTTACAGTTCAATTCCTATGTCTGTGGAAGGTTGGATAAGTTCTTTGAGGACCCGCTGAAGTTTGACCCAGAGAGGTTCCATCCAGACGCTACCAAGTAAGTCACCTGATACGTTTTTATTGTTTTATTGTTTCATTACAACATTTTAATTGATTAAAGCAGAACTGAACTCGAGAATCAACTTCTCTTGTTGAAAATGGCATATGTGACGTCGATATTAGTCAGAAACATTTATTCTAGTGCCAAAATTGACTAAAAAGTGCAAGTAGGGTAATTTTGGTAATAAAATCAGTATCTTCCAAAACAGAGTTTTGTGAGATTTTTGTACAATAGTGCGTTATTACTTACATGAGTGTTGGGTTTTGATTTCGACAATGCCCACTTGCCCACTAACACGGGATAAACAGCTGTGGTGATTGCGCTCTATCCAATGGTACGGCAGAACACACAGTGAGACAGACCTGCTCAGCAGCGCAGCGGATCGGACTTTGTTTACATAAGACAACATGTTGCACATTTTTTACTTGAGAAATACTGCGCCAAACACCTTGGCTAGATGTAAAATTGCGCTAATACAACCTTGTCGACAAAAATGTCCTAATTAATTACAGATTTCTTGAGTTATCTTAGATTCATTCTGACTATTCTGAGGATACTGGCTTTGTTCCTATGGTGTCTCATGGGGGACAAACATCAGTAACTGCCACATCGATCCATCTCGTTTTTCTTAATGAGCAACAGATCTGTAAATAACAGACATGTTGTGTTTGTTTCTGTCCTGAAGGCCCTATTACTGCTACTACCCCTTCGCCCTGGGACCACGCTCATGTCTGGGACAGAACTTCGCACAGGTGAGCAGACTGTCCATATAAAATACATTGAAACAACTTGATTTGGGAGTGCTCTGTGCTGGTCCTATCATCCATCCTAGTTAGATTACTCCTGGACTACTGCCGCCAATATATACATTTGTAATAGTTGAGAACACCAGATTTGTCATCCTTTTATAGAGATCTGTTGTTCACAGATGGAGGCGAAGGTAGTGATGGCCAAGCTGCTCCAGAGGTTTGACTTCAGCCTGCTGCCTGGCCAGTCCTTTGACATCCTGGACACTGGGACTTTGAGACCAAAGAGTGGAGTGGTGTGTAACATCAAACACCGAGGACAGACACCTGCAGCCTGACCTGACTGGGACCTGAACATGACTAGCACTTCTCTATAACTTACTTGTCTTATTCCTTAAAGTTCCTAGTGGGGCAAATGGCCTCTGTCTTTCAATGAAGCGCTTTATAAAATATCTAGCTATTTTTAATGAAAATGGATTTTGAACAATTATGTTAATTTTTTTGTATCAATGGTGAACTGATATAATTACATTTACATTTTAATGAAGCAATAAGGCCCGAGGGGGTGTGGTATATGGCCAATATACCATGGCTAAGGGCTGTTCTTATCCACGACGTAACACGGAGTGCCTGGATACAGCCCTTAGCTGTGGTATATTGGCAATATACCACAAACACCCGCGGTGCCTTATTGCTATTATAAACTGGTTACCAACGTAATTAGAGGATTAAAAATAAATGTTTTGTCATACCCGTGGTATACGGTCTGATATACCACGGCTTTCAGCCAATCAGCATTCAGGGCTCGAACAACCCAGTTTATAATATCTTAAATATAACGGTTCTATTTGATGAAGAGTGACTAGGACAGACCTGACATAGGAGTGTTTGTATTTGTACCGACTCCTTGTTGTTTAATACACTCTTATCATGTTGTTACTATGCAGTATACCATTTATCACATTATATAAAGAGCTTTATAAAGTATATATTAACTTATTTGATGAATTTCCTAACCAACATTACCACAGTGCCTCTGTTGGAGAGCATTTAATATATTTTAATAAAATATAATTTACCAAACATCACCAGAAGATTAGAATACTTTTGTCCACGAGGTGTCGCTGTGAACCTGCAGACAAACCAAGAACATTCATTCTCATGTTTTGCACCTTTCTTGTTCACACTCATGTGACGTCTAGATGGGTCATTTTAGACACCTGTTGACTGAATTGCAAGTGGAAGAACGCAACTTAGATTTTTATGATGGGTTACATTGTGAAAAGTCAATCTAGTGTGATATTTCTGTCCTCTGTTGCCGCAACTTTGATGTTTCATTAATTAGTCCAAAGTTTGGAAACGGTGTATCCATTGTTTGAATTGGGTCAACATGCCAGTGCAAGGACGTGTAGACTAAAGCTATCATCATTTGCGGATAGCAATTAAGAGGGCTATGGCATTCAGTTGACTAAAAGCAAGACAGTGCTTTATTATGATGCTGTTTATAGGCCTAGTTATAGCAGATCATATAGAAATGATAGAAGTAATCATGCTGGAGTTTTCAGAATGAACCATTGACAATGTTGTTTGTTTTAGAAAAAATAAAAATAGCTAGTGGTCTATTTTTATAATTATTCTGTTGAATTTCAATTCCTGTCTCAAATCAAGTGGAACTGACCATTTCAATTGCCGATTGCTATTTTCAAAACAGACCCATTTGTATTAATTCTATTGATAATTCATGTGTTTTCACCTCTCATAACGTGTGAAGTTCCTTACTGGCCCATTCATTGCATGGAGTTGGCACGCTCTCCATCTCGCTACCTGCCTGCGTCTTGATTGGCCGTCTTGACCGAGATCCTATTGAACCATTTCAAACCGGAGTCTGCGCTACACTACAGTCTGTGGAAGCCGGGGAGGACCGTGCAGGAGCTCGAGCACAGCGTCTGTTGTAAAAGGCTTTCGTTTCGGTTGTCTCGGAAAGGCAACATGCTGGTATAGTAAATATAGGGCTATTCATTGTTTGTTTTTCCTTCCAAGCGCACATTTCTGTTGGATTTGTAGCTGAATATATATTTATTTTCGTGGATATTTTCGTTCTTTTCTTCCACGGTGGAACCTGCAGAGCACGATTTGCACATGCAGTGGAATGCTCAGGGTTCTACTGACAGTTCTCAGCGCGAGGGATGAGTGATTGAGTTTTGATCGGTAAACATTCGCTTATTTTGTTTTTACACAATACAGACCAAATTTATGAACGAATGAAAAAAATACCAAGAATCATTGCAAAGATTCGAGTGAGCTTTTTTGAAAGACTTGTGCGTGCAGAGTCTTCTGCATGGTTGCCATAGCCAACATTGCATTGCCATTTTAATTTGTTTAATTATACTTTTCGATCCGAAGTGCCACGGTTAGCATCATTTCCGTATCATGTATTCACATTTCAATACAATTTCGCAATTGAGACTCGGCTAGTTTAGCCTAAACATCCAGCTTATTGCCGTCCCGTTATTGGACCGAGGAGAGAGCACAGACCCGCGGGAGACATGGCTAAAAACCCGTCCGAGGGACCCAAGGAGCCAGACCTGAATCAGCTATCGGACGAAGAGCTGCTGCAATGGGGCAAGGAGCAGCTGGTCAACAGGCTAAGGAGGGTGGACAGCGAGAAGTTGAACCTGATGATCGAGCACGGCAACATGATGAAAGACGTTAACCGGAGGCTGCAGGTGCACCTGCATGAGATCCGCAACCTGAAGGAGATCAACCAGAAGCTCCAGGACGACAACAACGAGCTCCGCGAGCTCTGCTGCTTCCTGGACGACGACCGGCAGAAGGGCAAGAAGCTGTCCCGGGAGTGGCAGCGGTTTGGCCGGTACTCCGCGAGCGCCATGTGGAAGGAGGTGGGTACCTACCAGCTGAAGCTCAAAGAGCTCGAGGCCAACCAGGAGACGGTGGTGCGCGAGAACACGGACCTGAAGGAGATCGTCCTCATGCTGGATGAGGAGCGGAACGGAGCCGGTTCCCGGAGCTCCATAGACTCCCAGTCCAGCCTCACCAACCTGAACGGCGGGACAGGGATAGTTCGCGACTTCGGGGATGGGAGTAGTACCTCCAGCACCGGGAGCGCAGGTAGTCCCGACCACAGCCACAACCACATACACAAGCTGCCCGCGGAGAGGGAGTGCAAGCTGGGTAGCACCTTCCAGAGGAGGTCCATGGATGACCTGTCACCGCCACACCATCACAGGAGCATCCCTAATGGACTCAATGGTAAGTTTATACACCTGTAATCCACCTGTAATCCACACCTGGCCATACACTTGTTATGGCCTACATCGGTCCACACACCTGTACACACCTGGCCACAGGCCATCTCATCTCAATGGTCCATACCAGCCGGGCTTGAGCTGGGATGTTAAATGCATAGGAGAAGGTGGAAATCATTATTATTGATATTGATATTTGTACTGCATTGTTGAGGGAGCTTGCAAGTAAGCATTTCGCTGCACTGAATACCTTCTGTAAACTGTGTACTTTGATTTGATTTGAATTAGACGTTCCACCAACAGTAGGGACTAACAAAGCAGAGCCATCCCTATATGGCTTTCAGACAGACCGACCGTTCAGACAGACCGACCGTTCAGACAGACCGACCGTTCAGACAGACCGACCGTTCAGACAGACCGACCGTTCAGACAGACCGACCGTTCAGACAGACCGTTCAGACAGACCGTTCAGAAAGACCGACCATTCAGACAGACTGACCGTTCAGACAGACCGACCGTTCAGACAGACTGACCGTTCAGACAGACCGACCGTTCAGACAGACCGTTCAGACAGACCGTTCAGACAGACAGACAGACCGTTCAGACATACAGACCGTTCAGACAGACAGACCGTTCAGACATACAGACCGGTCAGATAGACAGACCGTTCAGACAGACAGACAGACCGTTCAGACAGACAGACAGACCGTTCAGACAGACATACCGACCGTTCAGACAGACAGACCGTTCAGACAGACATACCGTTCAGACAAGACAGACAGACAGACCGTTCAGACAGACAGACCGTTCAGACAGACAGACCGTTCAGACAGACCGTTCAGACAGACAGACCGTTCAGACAGACAGACAGACAGACCGTTCAGACATACAGACCGTTCAGACAGACAGACCGTTCAGACATACAGACCGGTCAGACAGACAGACCGTTCAGACAGACCGTTCAGACAGACCGTTCAGACAGACCGTTCAGACAGACATACCGACCGTTCAGACAGACAGACCGTTCAGACAGACAGACCGTTCAGACAAGACAGACAGACAGACCGTTCAGACAGACAGACCGTTCAGACATACAGACCGTTCAGACAGACAGACCGTTCAGACAGACAGACCGACCGTTCAGACAGACAGACCGTTCAGACAGACAGACCGTTCAGACAGACATACCGTTCAGACAGACAGACCGTTCATTCAGACAGACAGACCGTTCAGACAAGACAGACAGACAGACCATTCAGACATACAGACCGTTCAGACATACAGACCGTTCAGACAGACAGACCGTTCAGACAGACAGACCGTTCAAACAGACAGACAGACCGTTCAGACAGACAGACCGTTCAGACAGACAGACCGTTCAGACAGACAGACCTCCATCATAACACAGAGACATTGGACAGTGATGCTGCCAAGGCCTGAGTGCCCCTCCCTCCTTCAGACGGATTCAGTCAAGGCCCGCACAGCAGTGGATTAACCTGCCATGTGACAGTCTGGCTGAGTGGCCTTTTCTCCGGGAGACAGCCAGAACCATATGTCGGGAGACAGCCAGAACCATATGTCGGGAGACAGCCAGAACCATATGTCGGGCTAAGCTATTATCATTGTTGTGATTACCTCACTGTTGCTGTGTTTAAATCCTCTTCTCATTCTGAGATGAAGTCATGATTGGGATGCTTACTGTAACAGATGTAACACACACACACACACACACACACACACACACACACACACACACACACACGGTGGATGCCTCTTCAGTGTCCCACCATCAGATTGATGGGAATTATGTCACTGAGTATCACGGCCCTGAAGGAAGAAGAGAAGACTATCTTAATTGCTTTTAGAAGGACTCAGGCAAATTGATTGTGGATGAGTTCACTGATTATTATGGTTGTCTTTGGGTCTCGAGGAGCTGTCTTTCTCTCTCTCTCTCTCTCTCTCTCTCTCTCTCTCTCTCTCTCTCTCTCTCTCTCTCTCTCTTTCACTCTGTCTCTGGCCTGCTTAGGGTCTCTCTCTCTCTCTGGCCCTCTCTGTCTCTGGCCTGCTTAGGGTCTCTCTCTCTCTCTCTCTCTCTCTCTCTCTCTCTCTCTCTCTCTCTCTCTCTCTCTCTCAGTTTCAATTAAATTCAGTAGACTCTATTGACATGGCAAGTTAAATTACTTACATTGTCAAGGTATACATATAACAAAAAATGGTGGGACCAACAGCAATAATAATAGTAGTAGTGGAAATGGTATTACCATTAACAGGAACTACTAACAACAATATTAATGAGAATAATAATCCATTAAATCAATAGTAGTCGACCAGTCTCAACATGACTGAGAAGACACATGACATGGTATGAAATCCAAAACAAAATGGGAAATATTATTGACATTACATTGCACTTTTCACTGGCTGTCCCTCAGGTTGTAGCAGGAGGACAAATATTTGGCTGCAAAAACATTTAGGCTTTTCACCCAATAAATATTAGATTTTTTCTTAAACTTTTATAGTTTCAATTTTTTTTGTAATGAATGATAATTTGGGGAAATAAATATTCTCTTTGGTCTGAGTATTTGTCACAGTGTAATAGGAAATGCAGCTCTGTCTCTACCTCTCCCCGGGGGCAGAGTGAGCCCAGCCTGTCCTCTCTGGGCAGCCAGGTTTGCCTGTGACGACCGGTCTCTATAGCCAGACTGTGCTCACTGAGTCTGTATCTAGTCAGTGTTTTCCTCAGTTTTCTATCAGTCACGGTGGTCAGATAGTCTGCCACAATGTACTGTCTGTTCAGAGCCAAATAGCATTGAAGTTTACTTAGATTTTTTGTGTTGTCTTTCCAATAGGTGATATCTTTTTCTTTTTGCTTTGTGATTTTGTGAGTGCTGTCCTGAGGCTCTATGGGGTTGGTTTGGGTTAGTAAACTGAGCTTCAGAACTAGCTGGCTGAGGGGACTGTTCTCTTGTTTAATCTCTTGACATTGTAGGGCTGTGTGATTAAATGTTTTGGGGTCGCTTGTTTTTAGATGTTGTAGCATTACATTTTTATTTTTACTTGGGCCCGTCCCTCAGGGTTGGGGGCCGGGGGAGCGGGGGGGGACAAATTTTTTTTTTGGCTTCCCGCAAAAAAAAAATTTGGCTTTTCACCCAAAAATATTTTAGTTTTTCCTTTTAAAATTTTTAAATTTTTTTTTTTTTTTTGTAAAAGAATGATTTTTAAAAAAAAGGGGGAAGGGAAAAAAATAAAAATTTTTTTTGGTTTGAGTATTTGTAAAAGTGTAGTTGGTGGGTTTTTTGGTAAAAAATTTTATTTGGGGGGGAAGTTGGGGAAAATTTGGGGGAAAGGGGGAAATGGGGGGGAAGAGCTAGGATTGGGGGGGGGTTTACCTAAAGGGGGGGAAAAGGGGGAAGAAAAAAGGGGGGGGGGAAAAAAGGGGGAAAAAAGAAATAAGGGAAGGAAAAAAGTTTTAAAGGGAAAATGGGGGACGGGGGGAGGGGTGGGGAAAGGGAAAGACAAAAAAGGCAAGGAAAAGGGGAAAGGGAAGGGGGGGGGGGCAGAGGGGAAGTCAGAACCAGAGGGGGGGGAAGGGGAGGGCCAAAAAGTGAAAAACCCCCCCCCCCCCCCGGCCCCTTTTCCTCTCTGGGGAAAACAAGGGTTTTCCTGTTTTGGCCCGTAAGGCCCCCGGTTTTTTTCTATTTGCAAAACTGTGCCTTTACCCGAGTCTTTTTTTTCTTTGTCAGGTTTTCCTCAGGTTTTTTTTTTCAGTCACGGTTTTGGGGGGCAGATAGTCTTTTCCCCCAAAGGGTTTTAGGGTTTTTCAGAAAACCAAATAAACATTTTTAAAAAAATTTAAAAAGATTTTTTTGTTTTTTGTTTTTAATAGGTTGATTTTTTTGGGGGTGGAATATTTTTTTTTTTTGCTTGGGGTTTTGTGAGGTTGGGTTTTGGGCCCTTTGGGGTTTTTTTGGGTTGGGGGTAGTTTAAAATGAGCTTCCGAAATGCTGGCTTTTAGGGGTGGGTTTTTTCTTGGTTTTAAACTCGGGCATTGAAAGGGCCCGTGTGATTAAATTGTTTTGGGGGGGGCGCTTGTTTTTTTTGATGGTTGTAAAATTTGAAAGGTTTTTTTTTCATTTGAATTTAAAAAGGGGGGGGGATTGGCCAAAAAATTTTCTTTACAGTGTTTATTTTGGTTTTTTTTTTGCATTAAAAATTTCCCGTTTAAAAAATCGGGGAGGGCATTTTTAAGGGGGTTTTTTTTTCCGGGGGAGGGGGAGAAAAAGAAGAGGAAAAGAGAGAGGAAAGGGGGGAGAGAAGAAAAAAAGGATTTTTTTGGGGGGAGGGGGGAGAGAGAGAGAGAGAAGGAGAGAGGGGAAAAAAAAAAGAGAGAGGAGAGAGAGAGAGGAGAGAGAAAGAGAGGAAGGGAAGGGAGAGAGAGAGAAAAGGAAGGGAAAAGGGGAAAAAAAAGAGGGAGGGGGAAGGAAGAGAAAAAAAGAGGAGAAAGAGGGGGGAAAGGAGAGAAAGAGAGAGGAGAAGAGAGGAAAAGAAGAGAAAAAAAAGAGAGAGAAAAAGAGAGAAAAGGGGAAAGGGGAGAGGAAAAAAAAAAAAAGAGAGAGAGAGAGAGAGAGAGGGGAAGAGAGAGAAAGAGAGAGAAAAAGGAAAAAAAAAGAAGAGAAAAAAAAAAAGAGAGAGAGAAGAGAGGAGAGAGAGAGAGAGAGAAGAAAAAAGGAGAGAGGAAGGGGGAGAGAAAAAGAGAAAAAAGAGAGGGGAGAAAATAAAAGGGGGAGAGAGAAAAAAAAAAAAGGGGAAGAGGGGAAAAAAAAAGAAAAGAGAGGGGAGAGGGGAAAAAGAGAGAGAAAAAAGAGAGAGAGAGAGGAAAAAAAGAGAGAAAAAGAAAAGAGAGAGGAAAAAGGAAGAGAGAGAGAGAGAGAAAAAAAGGAGAGAGAAAAGAGAGAGGGAAGAAAGGGAGAAAGGGGAGGGGAAGGAGGAGAGAAAAAGAGAGGGGAGAAAAAAAAAAAAAAGAGGCGAGGGGAGAAAAAGAGAGAGGAGAGAAAAAGAGAGAGAGAAAAAGAGAGAGAGAGAGGGGAGAGAAAAGAGAGAGAAAAAAAGAGGAGGGGGAGAAAAAAAAAGGGGGAAAAGAGAGAGGAGAAGAATGAGAGAGAGAAAAAATAGAAAAGGGGAAAAAAAAAAAACAGAGAGAGAGAGAGAAAATAGAGGAAGGAAAAAGAGGGGAGGAAAAAAAAAAAAAAAAAAAAAACCCCCCCAACCCCCCAAAAAAAAAAACCCCCCCAAAACCCCCCCCCCCAAACACCCCCCCCCCCCCCCACCCCCCCCCCCCCAACCCCCCCCCCCCCCCCCCCCCCCCCCAACCCCCCCCCCCCCCCCCCCCCCCCCCCCCCCCCCCCCCACCCCCCCACCCACCCCCTCCCCCCCCCCCCCCCCCCCCCCCCCCCCTCTCTCTCTCTCTCTCTCTCTCTGCTTAGGGGACATTTGAAATGCATCAAGCGGACTAGAAATCAATGCCCTGTTCTAAGACCTAAATACCAAGGCTTTAGCAGAGTGTTGGATGAAATACTGTAATGAAATAGGATGCTAAGCCTGGATTAATCTGCACATCACCACCAATAACACACACACACACACACACACAACCAATAACACAACGATTTGTTCTTTAGGATAAAAACAGTCTGTTTCCTGCTGTAACATACAAACAGACAGGCTGCCTAAATCCAGCCTCTGATTCGTTTGTTTTAGGAACGCAACACAGGTGCACTTCCTCAAGGAAATATCTTTCTATGTTCGGATTCCACAGCTGGTGTCTTTTGAGATTCCAGGAATTCTAGAATCTTAAAACCCTGAAGGTAGATATACTGTATTCAAGCAGCATGCTAGCAAGCGGAGCTGTTTTTAATCTGCACACAAACACATTTTTTGGTCATGTTTGTGCATCATTGCGTAACAGCAATATTGTGTCTGCTTGTCTGCCTGTGGCGGAATGGGGCAGGGCTCACCTCTCCAGCCTCTCTAAGCTGATGTTTTGCTAAGTTATGCCCCTTGCGTGCCCCTGAACCAAACAGTCTGTCTATGCCCTGGACTGACACTGTACTGTGGAACCCTATGCTCATCACTGTCAGACAGCTAGCTGGCTCTGCGCTTTCTCCCTTCTTCCTATACACATTGCCCTGTCAGAATCTCCATAGCTTGTCTCCATGACTGCCATGGACTGTGTGTCAACAAAAGACTCACTCTTAGTGAATTATTACTCTATCTGTACATTTTAAATAAAAAAAACAACAACAAATTAAATCAAATCTGAAATATTTTTGATCGGGACATTCTCCCCACCATCCCAGCTCTCTCCTCACTCAGTCAGTGTCAGTCAGAGCCAAGTTGATGGATGAGGAGGGGAGGGGATGTGTAGGTCTGATGTTTGAAGTCCAACGGGAACAGTTGGTAGTGGGAGGCCAAGGAGGCCTTTAGCAGACAAACATTAAAACTGTTACTGAGGTGCTAAATGAGAGACAACTGTGCCAGAGTGGGAGGATGGGCAGATGGATGGAAGATGGAGGGCAGAATGGGAGGAGTGGGGATTCTAGAGCTGGCATGCTCTTAAAGAATGAATCCAACCAACAACTACAGAATACTATTGTTCTGCCTCGTCTCCACTCAAAAAGATCTCCCACATAGCCCTCGCCACATTTCTGGCTCCTCTACCCCATAAGAAAGAGGAGGGAGAGAGAGCAAGCAAACAAAAGGCCTTCAAAGAGGCTTGGTGGTGGGGGGTTGGCTGGGAGGTGGTGGGGGGGGGGTGGGGAGGTAGTGGGGGGTGGGCTGGGAGGTAGTGGGGGGTGGGCTGGGAGGTGGTGGGGGGTTGGCTGGGAGGTGGTGGGGGGTTGGCTGGGAGGTAGTGGGGGGTTGGCTGGGAGGGTAGTGGGGGGTTGGCTGGGAGGTGGTGGGGGGGTTGGCTGGGAGGTGGTGGGGGGTTGGCTGGGGAGGTGGTGGGGGGTTGGTGGGAGGTGGTGGGGGGTTGGTTGGGAGGTAGTGGGGGGGTTGGCTGGGAGGTGGTGGGGGGTTGGCTGGGAGGTGGTGGGGGGTGGGCTGGGAGGTGGTGGTGGGTGGGCTGGGAGGTGGTGGGGGGTGGGCTGGGGAAGGGTGGGGGTATTGCTGGGGTGAAGTAGTGGGTTGGCTTGGTAGTGGTGGGGGGTGGGCTGGGAGGTTGTGGGGGGTGGGCTGGGAGGTGGTGGGGCTTGGGCTGTTGGAGGGCGGGGGTATTGCTGGGGTGAAGTAGTGGGTTGGCTGGGAGGTGGTGGGGGGTGGGCCGGAGGTGGCAAGACAGAGGAGGAGTTTCTGGTAGATCCTGCTGTCAGTGTAATTGTTTGAGTGAGTTTGAGTCTGGTGACACACCCCCTCTCCCCTTGGGGATAACTAGCTCTATACACACACATCTAAAGTTGAGCTTTCTTAACCCGGAGAGATGGATGAATGCATACTGCATAGGCCTAGCCTACAAGTGTTAAAACACCAATGGATGATTTTGCCTAAAGAATGGATGCTTTACATGCAACTTCTTTCCAGACCTGTGTGCTGGGATAGGTTATTAAAGATCTTTGATTGGATAGGTTATTAAAGATCTTTGATTGGATGGGTTATTAAGGATATTTGATTGGATGGGTTATTAAAGATCTTTGATTGGATGGGTTATTAAAGATCTTTGATTGGATGGGTTTTTAAAGATCTTTGATTGGATGGGTTATTACATATCTTTGATTGGATGGGTTATTAAAGATATTTGATGGGGTGGGTTATTAAAGATCTTTGATGGGTTATTAAAGATATTTGATGGGATGGGTTATTAAAGATCTTTGATTGGAAGGGTTATTTTTTTATTTAATTTTTTATTTCACCTTTATTTAACCAGGTAAGCCAGTTGAGAACAGGTTCTCATTTACAACTGCGACCTGGCCAAGATAAAGCAAAGTAGTGCAATAAAAAACAACACAGAGTTACATATGGGGTAAAAAACATAAAGTCAGAAATACAACAGAAAATATATATACAGTGTGTGCAAATGAAGCAAGTTATGGAGGTAAGGCAATAAATAGGCTATAGTGCAGAATAATTACAATAGTATTAACACTGGAATGCTAGATGTGCAAGAGATTATGTGCAAAAGAGCAAAATAAATAACAATATAGGGATGAGGTAGTTGGGTGGGCTAA